CAAACAAAGTCACACCTACTCCAGGAAGGCCATACCTCCTAATCCTTCTAATTCTACTAAAAAGTTCCACTCCCTGGTGACTAGCCATTCAAATATACAAGCATATCGAGGCCATTGACTGTGTGTATTTTCTTCATTGTAAAATGTTTATTTATGCCTTTTGTCCACTTCTTTACTGAACTGTGTTTTTCTTGTTAATTTGTAGTACTTTTGTTCCCATTCCTACTAAGGCCCAGTGACAAACCAAAGTTGTAGTCAATGGAAGTTCTTCATGGAAAACCAAGGAGTTTATTGGGATTACTTAAGAGCATGGGTGAGAGGGCCACTGATTAGAGCAAAGAACCCACACTTGAAAGCCTTTATCCCACATGGATGATGGCTTCTCCATAGCCACAGAGATGGGTCTTCATTCTCTTAACTTTCCACAGTTTATATACACTAGTCCCTCCCCAGGAACCAGAATAATTAGGACAAAGTTGCATACAACTTATTGAGAGCAATGGCTGAAAACTCAAGTGAGAGTCCTATGACCTCCCATGTGCCCTTCTTCTATGAGGAAAGGTTTACAGTTAACACATCCAGCTATGATGATCTTTTGATAACAGACACAGATGAATTAATGAAGATGGTGGCTCTTTGGTTCAGAGGATAATGCTGTGCAACATCTTTATAATTCATAACAGGAATCCTCTGTTGCTTTTATGTATTGAAAATACTTTCTGCTAATATATATCAAGTCCTTTTTGTTGACAGAGGTTTGGGTCCTGCCCAGTTCTGCAGCTGTTCAGTCCCAAAGAAACACACAAAGACCTACACTAATTATAAACTGGTTGGCCTATTAGCTCAGGGTTCTTATTAACTAACTTTTATATCTTAAATTAACCTATAATTCTTGTCTGTGTTAGCCACGTGGCTTGGTGCCTTTTATCAGTGAGGCATTCTCATCTTGCTTTCTCTGTGTCTGTCTGGTGACTGCAGACTGAGCCTTTCCTCTTCCTAGAACTCTCCTAGTCTTGTCTCCCCACCTATACTTCCTGCCTGGCTACTGGCCAATCAGTGTTTTATTAAACCAATACAAGTGACAAATCTTTTTTTTAAATATTTATTGATTTATTATGTATACAATATTCTGTCTGTGTGTATGCGACAAATCTTTACAGGGTACAAGACTATTGTCCCACAATACTTTTCATCATTATATTTATTATATATATTTTTGTGTGTCTACATGTGTATGAGAGACACATACAGAAATAGAGAGGTGTATGCATCCTTATATTATAGTTTCATACATGCGTGATTATACAGAAAGGAGGATGACCTATGTTTTCTGGTCTATTGCTTTTCACCCTATTTTCTTAAGACAGGGAGTCTCACTGAATATGGAGTCAACAGATCCTATTATTTCTTTCCATAGCTCTGGGGATATAGGCATGTGTGGCCATGACCATCTTTTAAAGTGGATGTTGGTAATTCAAATGCAGGCCCTCCACCATCAATAGGACAAAATAACGGACCACAGAATGGGAAAACTCCACATCCATCAGAGAGTTAACATCTAAAATATATAAAGAACTCAAGAACTAGAAACTAGACATTAATAAATTAAATAATCCAATTTAAAATGGGGTACTTCTCAACAGAGGAATCTCAAACGACTGAGAAACACTTAATGTTCAACATCCTTAGTTGCTGGTGGGAGTACAAACTTGTACAGTCACTTTGAAAATCAATATTACAGTTTCTCTGAAAATTGGGAATTGTTCTAACTCAATACCCAGCTATACCACTCTTGGACATATACCCAAAGGATGCTCCATCAAACAAGCACACTTGCTCTACTATGTTCATAGCAGCTTTATTCACAATAGCCAGAACCTGGAAAGAACCTAGAAGAATAAATAAAGAAAATGTGGTACATTTACACAATGGAATATTTCTCAACTGTTTAAAAAATAATGACAGCAGGAAATTTGCAGGCAAATGGATGGAAATAGAAAAAAACTGAGTGAAATAACCCAGACCCAGAAAGACAAATATGGTATGTACTCACTTATAAGTGGGCATTAGCTGTTAAGTAAAGGCTAATCCAAAAACCCAGAGAAGCTAAGTAACAAGGAGGGCTCAAAGGGGGTTGAATGGCTCTCCCTGAGATGGAGAAATAGGAGAGATTTTGATAGTAGACTGGGGGAAGGTGGAGATGGGAATGAGGTGATCAGGTGATAGGGGAGTGATGAATGGAGAGAATACTGGAAGAGACTACTGGAATTGAGGGGCATTTGAGAAGCCATGTAGAAACCTAATACAGTGGAAACTCCCTAGAATCTACAAGAGTGACCCTAGTGAAGTCTCCTAGTAATGGGGGATATAGAGCCCAAATCTCCCATCTTCTATAACTAGGCAATTCTCCCAGCGTTGGGACTGAGATATCAAGCCAGTACAAAACCTCCAACCTACATTCTGTCCTGCCTGCTCAATATGCTGGGCTAATAGTGGCACAGAACTTGTGGGAGTGGCCAAGCAATGACTGATCCAACTTGAAGTCTACACATACCATGAGAGGTAGCCCACACCTCACACTGCATGGATGCCCAGGAACCAGAGACTGGTTATCCCAGAGACTCAGGATAGAACCAAATATCACTGGCACTTAAAAAAGTCAACAAAAATGATTTCTAGTGATATTCTGCTATACTCATAGATCAGTGCCTAGCATAATCGTTCTCAGAAAGGCATCATCCAGCAACTGATGGGAACTGATAGACACACCCACAGCCAAACACTAGAGGGAACCAGGGGGGAATCCTTAGGAAGATGGGGAGGAGAGGAAGGATCATAAGAACCAGAGGGGTTAAGGACATCAGGAGAACACACTCATAGAATCAACTAACCAGAGGTCATAGGGACTCAAATATACTGAAGTGGCAATCACAAGCACTCTATATGGGTCTGAGCTAGGTCATCTCCATATATGTTATGCTTGTGTAGCTGTCTCTGAGTCTTTTTCCTGCTCCTGGAACCTATTTCCTCCTACTGGATTGCCTTGTCTAGCCTTGGCGAGGGTTTGTGCCTAGTTTTACTGTAACTTGTTACGCCATGTTCAGTGCATATCCCTAGGAGGCCTGCTTTTTTATTTATTTTATTTTATTTTATTTTATTTTTGGATTTTTGAGACAATGTTTCTCTGTAGTTTTTGGTGCCTGTTCTGGAACTAGCCCAGGCTGGCCTCGAACTCACAGAGATCCGCCTGCCTCTGCCTCCTGTGTGCTGGGATTAAAGGCGTGTGCCACCACTGCCCAGCGTGCTTCTTTATTTTTTGAAGAGAAAGAGGAGTGAATCTTGGGGAGAGGGGAGAGAGGGTGGGGATTGGGAGTAGAGGAGGGAGAGAAAACTGCAGTTGGAATGTAATGTATGAAAAAAAGAATTTATTTTTTTTTAAATAAAATAAGAACTATGGAAACAAAACAAAACAAAAACCTCAGATCCTGATGTTTGAACAGTAAGTAATCCTAGCCAATGAGTCATCTTCCCATTCCCTTATAGTTTAAGGATTTTTTTGTTTTAGAAAGTATTTGATGCAGTACAAGTTGGTCTCAATTCACCGTGTAGCAGAAGATGGATTTAAACTCAAGATCCTCCTGTATTTACCACCCAAGTACTGAGACTACAAGTATGTGCCAGTATGCCTGGTTATCTTTTGGGTTTTTTTTAAAGAAGTTCTTATTTCTCCTTATTTATTTATTATTTACATTTGGAGACAAGGACTTTGTATCCCAATCTACCTTCAAACTCACTATGTGGCTGAGGGTGACAATGAATTTCTGCTCCTCTTACCTCTACCTCTTAAATGCTAGGAATATATATTAGAAGGGGTTTTTTTTTTGGTTTTGTTTTTATTTTGTTTTGTTGGTTTTGGCATGCTGGCTAGGCAGTCCACTAACGAGGTTCATCCCCATTTGCATATCACATAAAGCAATGTCCCAATTTCACCTTTTCCAGTTCCATATTCAGTTAATAAAAGACCCTCTTTACTCATCTATTTTTATTGTTTAGTACCCTTGTATATGTACACAGGTGTGTTACAGGGTTGTTCATTCTGTAACACTGTTCGATGTATTCTTTCTCTGAACCAATCTCCCCTCCTTCCTTTTCCCCTCCCCTCTTCTCTTGCCTTTCATTCTTTCTCCACCTAAAACTAGTTCCTCTAGGCATATGTGTATGGTTTAAGTTATTAATAATGTGAACTCATGGTTTTAGGACAGGGTTCCCAAGGAGCCTTTAGGCCTAGTAAACATTAATTTTGCTCAGAAAGCCTTTTATTTGTCTCCAGGGCATTTGGATGTTTAGGGATCTTACTCTGATTCTTAAAAATTGTTTGTTCCATTGGCTTTGGCTGATTCCTAGAAATTGTGTGGCATCAGCAGTGGGAGAGTAAGTAAAAACACTCTTGAGGCAATCCCATCTTTCATCACTGAACAGCATACACCAATATAAATGATGGTACCAGCAGCACAGGAGCTTAAAGGCATTTTCACAAGTCTAAACTTGAAAGGTGTATTGGCCTTGTGACCACACTGATTTAAGAGCCTTGAATCTCGTCAACCCCCTGTATCCTTCAGGCTTCATTGGAAAGCTGGCTGGTTCCTGATGGTCCCAGCTATCTGGATGTAAAATCAACTCCTGGGTTGCCTTAGCTAGGAACCAGGGGCCTGCTGGTTGCAACTCATGGATAGTAAAGGGGCAGCAGATGCAGTAGCTGAACGTTTCTGGATCTGCTCCGGTATTTCAGGCCTGCGGGTAAAAGCGAGATGGAATTCTATCTTCTAAAGCTGCAGATTGCGCAACTCAGGCCCGCAGAGGCGTGGCAAGAGCAGAGCGTCTCAGCAGCCCTAAGGTACGCCTTCTCCAATCGCTAGGCAGGAGAAAGGCCAAGGCGTGGGTGGGCTTTGGGGCGGGACAGGGCGGGAAGTAGGCGGAGCGTGGGTACTGCTCCACCCAGTCCTTCTGGCTCTTAGCCTGCGGGGTTGGGGCTGGCGCAGCTCTAGTTCCTTTCCTCCTCTGCCGCCTGCGCTGCCTCCGCCGCCTCCGCCCGCCTTCGCCTGCCTCCGCCTCAGTCTCCCACGCCTCCGAACAGGCCGCGGTTACCGGTTTGCGATTCCCGGGCTTAAACTCTACAGCTCCAGTGTCCCGGTGTCGGTGCTCCTGCGAGATGACGCTCAAGTCGAGCGAAGGCGAGGGTGGGAATAGCATGCGCACCGCGCTCTCGGACCTCTACCTGGAACACTTGCTACAGAAGCGCAACCGACCTGAGGTTAGCTGGACCTCTGGGGTCCTCGGGGTTCGGGTTGGGTCTCGGCTCCAGGCCTTTCCATCTACTTCTGGATTTGTCCTATCCGTAGCCTTGTTCCTGGGTGATCTGCCCCGGAGGACCTGATCTTGAGTGTCCTGTTCCCAGGGTGAAGGCCTTCGCTTTGGGCCGAGTTCATACTGAGATCTGGGTGTGGTGAATAGTTGTCTGGGGCAGCCCTCCTAGGTGAAAAATCCCAATAGGCTGACTAGGACCAAATGCTTACTGAGGTCAAAGAAAACTTGCTCATGGATGGTAACAGAAAGACTTTAAGAAGAAAAATGAAAGACTTTAAGGAACACATCCAAGAGAAGATCTGCCTGGTTGGTTGTTGATCATTTGTGTTCAGTCTCACAGACATTGTGAAAGCCAACTTCGTGCTCTAAAGAACTCGCCCTGTGTTCCTTTACATTTCATTTCAGCAGGTCCCCTTGTACTTCGTTGTAAATTAGTGTAGCCTTCATATTCCAGTGTTAAACAGTAAATAACTACTAATCTGCGGAGTCAGAGGCCCCCAGAAGAGGCTATGGATTATATTAGATGTAGCATGTCTTCCTCAAATTCAGTAGGTTATAGTGTGAACCCTGCTTACTTCTACTCCTTTACCCTGCTCCCTCTACTTTCTAGTCCCTTCTGGGAGATTTATTGAGTTGCTTACGATACAGCAAAGCCGGATTTGTGACAAGCAGGTACAATTGTTAAACAACATACATTACTTAAACAAAATGTTCAAAGATAATACTAGGTGAAACTGAGAAAAATATTTTTGGTTGTGATTCTAGTCTTTAACGGCTGAGCCATTTCTCCAGCTCAGAAACTGGGAAAAATAAAACCAAAAATCTTTACAGGAATGGTACCTTGAGCAAAAAACCCTCTTATGTGTTTTGATCACCTTTTTTTTTTTTTAGATGAAGGGAAAAAAAAGGAAAAGTGAAGAATTGGTAAGAAAAAAATGTGTTTATGACAATTGTATTCTGGTTCCCTGATTCTTTTCTTCCCGTTTTCTTTTCCTAACCTCTGGTGTCATTTACCCTCCCCCAGCCAGTTTTGGAAGTACGGTTATTTAATCTTGCCTTTTCTATGTTCCACACCCACGGTCCTCTTTTAGTAACCCTGACAGAGCAGTTCACTGCTTAGGGGAAGAACCTGTGCACCAACTAAATGTCAGGAAATTTTATCTTTCCTGCTGACAAGTAGGAAGACATTTTGCTTTTTGTTTGTTGTTTAAGGCCTCACACTGTAGTTCAGGCTAGCTTGTAACTTTATTTATTATCCTGACAGGCCTTGAACTCCTGGCATTTCTGCCTCAGTTTCCAGAGTGATGGAATTATAGGCATGAGCCAACAAGTCAGACTTCAGGACATTTTTAATTGTCACAACTAAATGTATTTAACTTTTTACAGCAATGAATTAGCAGACCCCCAAATGTCATGACTACTGAAAGAAATATCTGTTCCTGATGTTCTAGTTCAGTGTCTTATCAAAGAGCAAAGAGCAGAACTTATGTGGTAAAACGCTAATCTACTTAAGCCTCTGTGACCACAATAAAACCAGATTCCTATCTGTAAGGTATCTAAGTCTTACCGGTTTTAAAAATTAGAGTCATAAATATCCTGGAAGTGAAGGACAGGAAAGGAAGAAAACCAACAGATCATACTAAGTAGTGAGAAAATTGGGGTAAATACTAAATAATTTTTAAATGACATTTTATTTTCTAGTGTACATTCTCTGAAAACACAGACTTTGAATGGAAATATCCCATTCTCAAATGAGACAACCAGACCCAAGAAGGTGCTCTTTCTTTGGTAGAATGATAATCAGGAGTAGATTCACTGACCGTGCTGCTCCCTTCTGACTCAGCCAAGACTTGCTTTCTGCTATTGTACATGGAATGTATGGCATTGAACCTTGGTGTTTTCTTTATAGGCTATTCCATTTTGCCTGGAGTACTGTTTGCCCCGTACATCCTGTATTATACAAAATGCAGGCTTCAGCAATGCTGGGCTCTCTGCAGTGTTTCACAGCCCCCTACACCTCCTTCAGAGGAAACATCTGTAGCACAGTTCAAAGGGCAGAGACAGTTTCTCAAAGGAAGTTGAAATAAAAAAAATAGATGAAAATAACTTGGCAGGGGTGGGGGCAGGGGTAATGGGGGTGAATAGAGGAGGGACAAATATAGTTGACTTTCTCATTTAAAGTAATTGGCTTCAGAACAAGTGGCAGTGAACTGGTGAGCACAGGAATGAACAAACATTTGTTCAGTCTACTGTTAGGCCCTCTGCCAACTGCTTCCACATGGAGAACTTAGAATGCCCAGTCCAAGGAGATGAGTGACCCTAAATACAGAAGAAGAGCCTAGGAGAACCTTAACACCACCTGCCAGTCTTGTGTAGATGCCTGGCTGAGCCCATCTGATGTCCACAAGTACCCACTATTCACATGGACATAACTGTTTCACTTTGTGAGGGGAAAACTACAATAAAAAAGCTAGAGAAGCCATGAAACTAACAATTCCCTAAGGAAGTATAGAGCTTAGAACTATTTAACTATAAATGAAAAGAACTGGAGACACGGGAAAGCCCAAGAATCAGGATTTTTCTGGCAGGTATTGTCTTAAAATCATACATTAACTAGAGCTTTGTTTCTCAGGCACTAAATACATATATCAATCCAAAGGCCACATGTTTAAAGGTCCTTGGCTGATTTGCTTATCTGTCCAGTGCACTCTGGACATCTGCACAGACTTCTTCCACTGAAATAAAACAGGAAACACAAGCAGCTCCATTCCACCTAAAACACTGAACTGTATTTCCAAATACTTGGCCCTTGGTTTCTGCATAGCCATTAGACCAGTGTTGAGATTATGTATAAAACAACATTCATCAAACCATTTCTTTGTTTTTATTATTTGTTTATTTGGTTTTCTTTTAAGATAAGGCCTTACTATGTAGCTTTAGCTGGCCCGGAACTCACTATGTAGACCAGGATAGCCTCAAACTCAAAACAGATCTGCCTGACTCTGCCTTCAGAGTGCTGGGTTTTAAATCATACCTTTAATCCTACCATGCCTGGCAGTTTTTGTTGTTTGTTCTGTTTTATTTTTTAAATATCATCTCACTGTATAGCCTAGGCAGATTTCAAACTCTTGGCAGCCCTCCTTGTCTCTGACTCCCGAGAGTTGAGATTACAAACCTGCACCACCAGGCCTAGCTGGTTAAAATTAAGTTCTTAGCTGGGTGGTCATGGTGCATTCCTTTAAACCCAGCATTCAGGAGGCAGAGGCAGGTGAATTTCTGTGAGTTCAAGGCTAGCCTGGTCTACAGAGCGAGTTCCAGGACAGTCTCCAAAGCTACACAGAGAAACCCTGAATTGAAAAACCAAAAAAGAAAAGAAAGAAAAATTAAATTCTTGTCTCTACTTTGTGATCCATATTTTGAGGTCAAAAAGTAATGTTTACAAACCATTTGCAGTAAAGTAATTCATAAGCCTTAGACTTCAGGAGTTAGTTAAAATAGAAGCACGGGATTCAGAGTTCAAGAAGACAACATGATACCAGGTCTTGTTTTGTAGCCCAGGATTGTCGCAAACTCACTTTGTATTCCAGGTTACCCTCAGACTTATTCTTCTGCCCCAGCCTCCCATGTGCTAGGATTACCATGTGGTAGGTGCTACTATACCTAGTTTATAAATAAGACTTTATTGAAACTATATAATAAATTTTGAAACTAGTTAGACTGATATTTACCACTTCTCTTTCAAAATTAGTTTAACTATTCATAGATAGGTCTATGACCTTCCATCATGTTTATAATTTTAAAAGACCAAATTGTCTAGAGGTAATTTGACTTTAACTTCAGCGAATCAGGTAAGTGAAACAACTTGACATCTGACACCAGCCTCTGCTGCAAAGATATGTAGTCACAATAAAGAAAATTATAGCTAGAATGTGGTGGCACATGCCTTTAATTCCAGCACTCAGGAGGCAGTAGCAGGCAGATCTCTGTGAGTTTGAGGCCAGCCTGGTCTACAGAGCGAGTTCCAAGACAGGCAGGGCTACACAAAGAAACCCTGCCCCCCCAAACAAAAAACAAAAAAAAGATAGAAAATTATCTATTGAGAGCTCTCCAAGACCAGCTGGACTGTGTCTGAAAAAGCATGGGATAAAACTGGACTCTCTGAACATGGCGAACAATGAGGGCTGATGAGAAGCCAAGGACAATGGCACGGGGGTTTGATCCTACGTAATGTGATGGCTTTGTGGGAGCCTAGCCAGTTTCGATGTTCACCTTCCTAGATATGGACGGAGGTGGGAGGTCCTAGGTCTTACCACAGGGCAGAAAACCCTGACTGCTCTTTGGACTGGAGAGGGAGGGGGAAAGGAGTGGGGGGAGGGGGAGAAAGGTGGGAGGAGGGGACGTAGGGTGGGAGGAGGGGGAGGGAAATGGGAGGCTGGGAGGAGGTGGAAACTTGTTTTTTTTTCTCCTTTTCTCAATAAAAAAATATATATATAAAAAAAAGAAAAGAAAATTATATCTTTTTTTGATTAGCTGTCCAAGCAGATATTACTTTTGATGTTCACCTTTCTAAGGGGACAAGATTAAGTACTCTTCTCCATCTCTTTAAACTTCTCAGCCTCTAGCACATATATATCTTAATTTGTTACATTGCTTGCATTTACAATATGTTCTTTATAACTTTTTTAAGATTTGTCTGTCGGTGAATCCAAAAATGTGAAAGTCAGTGATTTCCAGATCCCTGATATTGTTTGGGATGGCAAGATGTTATCTAGCTAAATTCTTACTTTTCCAGCCTTTTTTTGCAGCTTAAGGTGGTTGTACGGCTGTGATCTGGAGCTCTGGCCTATGAGATAAGAAAAGCTGTTCTCTGGAGAAGTTCTGATCTGGGTCCAACTGACCTGGCTCCTCTGCCTTCTTGCCTTGAGAGTGGAGCTGATCCACAGAGTCACAGCTTTTGAATATGTTTCCAGCCCATGACTCCCTTCTTGGATTTCTGACCTCAGACTGATGGTCTGTGGAGTAGTATGGCCCTTCTTCTTAGCTAAAGACTTGAGTGATCAGTGACTGTTCCTTTGCCTACTTTCTGTCTTTTAGAGAATTATTGAATGAAATCTGTCTGTTATCCTTGGTGATGCTTTAATGTTTTCTCCATGGGTGATATGAAAAGTGTGTGTTCTCTTTCTATTCCCACTTTGTTCTGAAAACCTGGGTGTGGTGGTGTGTGCTTATAATCTTGGTGTTTGGAAGTCTGAGTCAGGAGGATTGTGATTCCAGCCCCCTTTGAGATACATAATGAGACCCTGTCTCTAAAGGTTCAAATAGCTTGACTAAGAAGTAAGGGAGGATGAGATCCACATAAGTAGTCAGGCTGCCAACTTAAATGGGAATTCTACTCATGTCAGAAAATTCCATCTTGCCAGTTGTAGAAAGGAATGTTGTTTTGAGAACTTGGTGGGAACAGTAGAGTTCCGTTTTCCTGAATATAAATTAATCATTGTGATATAAAATGGAGGGATACATGAGGCTTTGAATGCTGAGTATTTTCTTTAGTGGCATCTTTCAGTATTACTAGTATGTCAGCACTCCCAACAGAGAGCTATACAGTAGCATGGTAACCATAGCCCACATTTACCAACTGCTTCTAAGTATTATATTAAGCTTGCAACCCAGTAAAGTCATCCTGTTACTATCCTCATTTTACAGTTGAAGAAACAGAAGTGCAAGAAGGTCAAGAATCCAAAGTTAGCCAGCAGTTAGTAAAAGAGCCAGAAACCTAATTCAGACAGTACGTTTTTCTGTTAAGTGATGTGTTCTGGGTTTTTAAGTTCTACTTAATATATTATTTTGCTAAATTATTTTATTTTGTTTATTTATTCATGTATTTTTTTTTCAAGGCAGGATTTCTTTGTATAGCCCTGTAGACAAGGCTGGCCTCGAACTCACAGAGATCTGCTTGCTTCTGTTTAAGTGCTACAATTAAAGGATAAATCTAAATTATTTTCTTAAAATAATTTATACACATAGTTCATAATTTGCAAGGTGTGGTGAGTAAAGTCAGCTCATGAAAGCAATTTCCTTCTCACTCCATCTTGTAGCCAACCACTTTCTCCCTTTCTCGAAATAATCACTGTGCCTTCCAAAGATTATTTGTATGTTTCTAAGTAAATGTGAATACACTAATTTTTTCACTGTTTGTGGTGAAGGTAGCATAATTATCTTCACATTGTTTTATTTTTGACGTAAACAGTTTAAAAATTACCTCTAAGCCCCCTTGTCAGGGTTACATGGTGTCTTCCCACACAATGACTATACTGCCACTGGATTGTTGTAGATTACCTCGGATTTGTGTAAAGTTCTGTGTTGCTAAGTTAATTTTCAAACTCCAACCTTTTCAATAGTGTTACAACATAAATGCCATATGACCATGTCATGTGAGTTTTGGACATTTTAGCTGCAAAACAAGGCAGTTTCTCTTTCTCAACACTTCCCTCATCTGAGGTTACCCATACCCAGTAAATGAAACTATTTCAGTTCTCATTGTCCTTTCCATTACAAAGGAAGCAGTAAGTTGACAGTTTTTGAAGAGCATACCCATGTTATAAGGCATAACGTCTCACAAGTTTCTAGGCAAGACCTCCTTGCCCCTCATCTTTCCACCCTTTTCCCTCTGTGCATGGGCGAGCCACTGAACTTATTTCAGCAGTGTATACATTCTCACATAAGACTTCTTTCTCCCAGAAAAATGAATGGCAAGATACACTTATCACAGCTCTATTTATTGAGAAGACCTTCCACATCTCCCAGTGTCCTTGAGGGCTACCCCTGGGTGTGGCTAGTATATAGCTGCTCATCATTTTAAGCTTGTGTCCACATACCAAACTCATACTAGTTCTTCCTCCTCTGACTTGCTGTGTTGGTTTTGATTTAATATTTTAGGTACAAACATTTGTAGAATAAGAAAGGTAAAATATCTTCAAATTACTCTCAAGTAATTGAAACTTTAAATTGTATGACATTAAAAAACAATGCTACAAGACCTATACAGGATTGAGTCCATCAGTATTTCTTTGTGTATATATTGGACCCTCCTTGTGGGTCTATTGGCGGTTAATGATTACTGAATAGGTGGTGTAGTCATTAGTAAGCTGCTCTCATCTGTTCTTATGCAAATAACTAATGAAATTCAGAGGAGAGATACCCCAATAATATTTTCCCAGTTTATGTGCCTACCTGCAGGTACAAGAGTTCCAGTTCCGTACCTAATGGCTTGCCTTTTTACGATTTTTTACACTGTTTCTCTCTGTGTGTTATATGTATACATGCATACAATTGTGTGCAACCATGCACTAACACAGAAGCCAGATGTCTTGCCATAGCACTTTTTTTTATCATACTTTCTCTAGACAGGCTCTCTCACTGAACCTAGAGCTATACTGGTGGCCAGTAAGCCATGCTGGTACTCATCTTTACCCCAGACAGAGCTGGGATTATAGATGGCCTTGCTGGGCTTTTTATGTGGGTGTTGAGAATTTATATTCAGGTATTCTTACTTGGACAGCAAGCATTTTTACCTACTGAGCCATCTCCCCAGCTCCCTTTTCATTCTCCCACTCTTTTAAAGTATTTATTTATAGTTTATGGGTGTATAAGTTTATGCACCACCTTTGTGCCTGGTGCCCACAGAGGCCAGAAGAGGGTATCAGATGCTCTTGAACTGGAGTTACAGGTGGTTGTGAGCCACTAAGTAGGTGCTGGGAACCAAACTCAGGTCCTCTGCAAGAGCAACAAGTGCTTTTAACCACTGAGCTCTCTCTCTCTAATCCCCCCTTTTACTCCCTTAATGCTATTCTTCACCAATATTGTATTTGGAAAAATTTAAACTTACTGAAAAGATGAAAAAATTATCATTATGGCTTCTATAATTGACATATTGCTTTATTTGCCTTAACACATATATCTACCTAGAACTACCCATCTATCCCCCTTTTTTTTTGCATTTGAAGGCAAGGTGCAGATGTCAGGATATTTCACCCCAAAGAACTTCAGACTGTATATCACTGCCTAGAGTTCATATTTGTTCATGGTGTTTTTGTTTTGGTTTTGGTTTTTTGTTTGTTTGTTTTTTAGTTTTCCAAGACAGTTTTTCTGTGTAAAGTCCTAGAACTCTGATTTGTAGACCAGGCCGGTCTACAAAAAGAGATCCACCTGCCTTTGCCTCTGACTCCCAAGTGCTGGGATTAAAGGTGTGTGACGCCACTGCCTAGCTTGTTTATGGTTACTTTTTAAGGTAAATTTTAAATACAGTAAAATGCAAAAATCTTGAGTATACTATTATACACTGTATCATGGCATCAAATATTACCAGCATTCTAATTCTCTTATGCCAGTCCTTTCCCTTCAAGACAACTACTGTCTTAATTATTTACAATAGTTTTGTTTATTCTAAAATCTTACATACATTTTATCATATTGTACATATTCTTTTTAATAAGACTTCCTTTATTCAACAGGTTTCTGAGTTCATCTCTTTTATTTTGTAGTTTGTCTTCTTGTATTCATGAACAACTGGCTTGTGTGTTTTCCTGTGTGTCAACAACTGTGTTGTCTCCTTTTGGGTGGACTATTGGGAACACAAACCTGCTATGTACATCTGCATACAAGTTCCTATGTGGACAGATTTTTTTTTTATCTTGAATTAACTCCTAAGAGTAGTATTGCTAGACCATAGAGTAAGCGGGTGTTTATGTTTGGCCCTTTGCAATTTCTGTACTATTTTGCATCTCAATAGACAGTTGTAAGCTGTCATGAGGGTGTTGAGAATTGAACCCAAGTTCTCACAAAGAGCAGCCAGTGCTCTTAACCACTGAGTTTTCTAATCCCTCAGAATATTTTTAATAAAAAAATCATTCCTTTATCTTAAAGAACTGGGTTTTCAAAGCTTTTTAATTTCTAATTACAGATAATTGACTGTCCATGGGCCTTTGCTGTTTTATCCACTAATCTGTTTTCATTTGACAGGCTGCATTGAATCAGTTGAATGTTGCCACTGAGGACATGTACACCAATGGGTCTACTGTTCCAGGTAGCCCTGCCCATTCTAAAGGGCAAGAGGCAAGGAAAGTACGTCTCATACAGTTTGAGAAGATCACAGAGGAGCCCATGGTAATTTCTTGTCCTATTGTAATCATCATTTATTCTCTACTAGTAAAATCATTGGGCCATAAAACTGCCAATGGCCACTCATAGAATTGTACAATCTGCCAGCTTCACTGTTTTTTGTCCCCATCTCAAGTTTCTTTCAAAGCAAGCAAGCTTCCTGCTTTTTCTATTTGAGAACTGACCCTGATATAAATGTAAATGGTGTTCTCTGCAATTTTTTTCTTTAGATGCTTTAAAGATTATCCTCAGAAAGGGCTTAAAACAAAGCTTACTGTTCCATTGCCTTTATTCCAGGGAATTACTTTGAAGCTGAATGAAAAACAGTCATGTACTGTGGCCAGAATTCTCCATGGTGGCATGATTCATAGACAAGGTACTCTGGCAGGGAGGAGGGATCCTAAGTCTAGTTTTATTCTGGGATTAATTATTTACTCTCTATTCAGTGGTGTGGGACATGAAGTTTATAGTCCTCAAAACTGATATCATTTTTGTGAAAGTGCCAAGAGATTCTTTGAGTTAATAACTCTTTAAGGTGGGCATGGTGGCATATACCTTTAATCCCAGTACTCAGGAAGCAGAGGCAGGTGGATCTCTAAGTTCAAGACAGGCTTGTTCTACAAAGTGAGTTCCAGGACAGCCAGAGTTACACAGAAAAAAAAAAAAAAACTTGTCTTTTTTTTTTTTTTTTTTGAGGAGAATAGGGTTTATTACTCTCACAGTTCCATATAACAGTTCAAATGCAATGAAGGTAAGAACTCAAACAGGGCAGGCATCCTAGAGGTAAGAGTTATGCAGAAACTGTGAAAGAATGCAGCTTACCGACTTTCTCTTCATGGCTTGCTCAGCCTTCTTTCTTTTTTTTTTTTTTTTTAATAATTTTTTTATTAAGAAAAGAAGAAAAAAAACATAAACAAAAAACAAGTTTCCACCTCCTCCCAGCCTCCCATTTCCCTCCCCCTCCTCCCACCCTTCTCCCCCTCCTCCCACCCTTCTACCCCTCCCCCCACTCCTCTCCCCCTCACTCTCCAGTCCACAGAGCAGTCCAGGTTCCCTGCCCTGTGGTAAGTCCTAGGTCCTCCCCCCTCCGTCCATATCTAGGAAGGTGAACATCCAAACTGGCTAGGCTTCCACAAAGCCAGCACATTAAGTAGGATCAAAACCCCGTGCCATTGTCCTTGGCGTCTCATCAGCCCTCATTGTTCGCCATGTTCAGAGAGTCCGGTTTTATCCCATGCTTTTTCGGTCACAGTCCAGCTGGCCTTGGTGAGCTCCCAGTAGATCAGCTCCACTGTCTCAGTGGGTGGGTGCACGCCTCGTGGTCCCGACTTCTTTGCTCATGTTCTCCCTCCTTCTGCTCCTCATTGGGACCTTGGGAGCTCAGTCCAGTGCTCCAGTGTGGGTCTCTGTCTCTGTCTCCATCCATCACCAGATGAAGGTTCTATGATGATATGCAAGATATTCGTCAGTATTGCTCTCGGATAGGGTCATTTCAGGTTCCCAATCCTCAGCTACCCAAGGAACTAACTGGGAACCTCATGTTGGGCACTTGGGAGCCCCTCTAGGGTCAAATCTCTTGCTCACCCTAAAGTGGTTCCCTTAACTAAGAATTGTGGTTCCGTGCTCCCCTATCCACCTTTCCTTTATCCCAATTCTCCTGATTCCCCAAGTCCCCCCTCCTTCCTTTCTACCTTTTCTCTCCCCATCTCCCCTTACCCCCATCCCACCCCACCCCCAAGATCCTAATTTTCTCCCCGGCAATTGGGTCTACTTCCCTTAGCCAAGAGGATAACTATATGTTTTTCCTTGGGTTCACCTTCTTACTTAGCTTCTTTAGGTTCACCTATTGTAGACTCCGTGGCCCTAATTTATGGCTAGAAACCAATTATGAGCGAGTACATCCCATGTTCATCTTTTTGGGTCTGGGACACGTCACTCAGGATAGTGTTTTCTATTTCCATCCATTTGCCTGCAAAATTCGAGAAGTCATTGTTTTTTACCGCAGCGTAGTACTCTAGCGTGTATATATTCCATACTTTCTTCATCCATTCTTCCATTGAAGGGCATCTAGGTTGTTTCCAGGTTCTGGCTATTACAAATAATACTGCTATGAACATAGTTGAACAAATGCTTTTGTCATATGATAGAGCATCTCTTGGGTATATTCCCAGGAGTGGTATTGCTGGGTCCAGGGGTAAGTTGATCCCGAATTTCCTGAGAAACCGAAACACTGACTTCCACAGTGGTTGCACAAGATGGCATTCCCACCAGCAATGGATGAGGGTACCCGTTCCTCCACAGCCTCTCCAGCAAAGGTTATCCTTGGTGTTTTTGACTTTAGCCATTCTGACAGGTGTAAGATGATATCTCAAAGTTGTTTTGATTTGCATTTCCCTGATTGCTAAGGAAGTTGAGCACGACTTTAAGTGTCTTTTGGCCATTTGAACTTCCTCTGCTGAGAATTCTCTGTTCAGTTCAGTGCCCCATTTTTTAATTGGGTTAATTAGCATTTTAAAGTCTAGTTTCTTGAGTTCTTTATATATTTTGGAGATCAGACCTTTGTCTGTTGTGGGGTTGGTGAAGATCTTCTCCCAATCAGTAGGTTGCCTTTGTGTCTTATTGACTATGTCCTTTGCTTTACAGAAGCTTCTCAGTTTAAGTAGGTCCCATTTATTCAATGTTGCCCTTAATGTCTGTGCTTCTGGGGTTATACATAGGAAGCGATCTCCTGTGCCCAGCTCCTGTAGGGTACTTCCCACTTTCTCTTCTATCAGGTTCAGTGTGTTCGGGCTGATATTGAGGTCTTTAATCCATTTGGACTTGAGTTTTGTGCACGGTGATAGATAAGGGTCTATTTTCATTCTTCTACAAGATGACATCCAGTTGTGCCAGCACCATTTGTTGAAGATGCTTTCTTTCTTCCATTTTATACTTTTAGCTCCTTTATCGAAAATCAGGTGTTCATAGGTTTGTGGGATAAAATCCGGGTCTTCTATACGATTCCATTGGTCGACTTCTCTGTTTTTATGCCAGTACCACACTGTTTTCATTACTGTAGCTCTGTAATAGAGTTTGAAGTCAGGGATGGTAATGCCTCCAGAAGATCCTTTATTGTATAGGATTGTTTTGGCTATCCTGGGTTTTTTGTTTTTCCATATAAAGTTGATTATTGTCCTCTCCAGATCTGTGAAGAATTTTGATGGGATCTTGATGGGGATTGCATTGAATCTATAAATAATCAAAATGAGGGCTGAAAACACATAAAAAAACTTGTCTTAAAAAATATACACCCAAACTGACTCTTTAGAAAATTGCATGGTAAGATCTTAGTATAAACTACTCAGTACCACCATCTCTTCCTCTGTACATTTTTTTTTCTTTTGGTATTTCAAGACAGGGTTTCTCTATGTAGCCCTGGTTGTCCTGAAAATGACTCTGTAGACTAGTACTGCTGTCTGGGGGACCAGCCTCCAGCAGCACAGACAGGGCTTTGACAGGAATCCATGGAGTCAGCAAGTCTAAACTTTCTGTCTGAGGGACGTTAGGGAAAAAGACACTCACAAACTCTCTTGATGGTTTTATTCTTTCTTCTTCTTTATTTTCTCTCTTTATTCTCTCCCTTTATTCTGTCTCTCTCATCTCATGTTGTTTTATAGCCTTTATACCCCAACATTTTCCAGGCAATACAAGAGTCAAAACAGTTTCTCAAGTGAATGAATATAGGTAAAAAAACATGTTTTTATCTCCCTCATATGATTCAGCATTTTATGTATTACAGGCAAAAACCAATTTATCCCAAGAACCCACATACATTCATACCCAAGCAACTTGTTATAGATTAACCATGTGGCCAGCAAGGTCTTTTACTGTCAGGCTGCATTTTGCAGTTACAAAGAAAGGGCCAATTACTTTATTACTTATCTTTAAAGGTAATCTTATAAGGAATCTTAAAGTAATCACAAACCTAAACTTTTATATATGAAAAAGAATCATTCAGCTCTACTTTAAATCTTTAGTGTACATATCCATTCATTAATAGTTTTTTATATCAGGAGATTGAGGGCATACATGGGTATAAGGAATTAGTCATCACCTTTGGTCATCAACCAAACCTTACAATACGTCAGCCAGTAATAATTGGTCTGCTTTGTTCTTATTCCCTGACTTTAAAGGGTTCTGTATTCAACTAAGTGCCTTTCTAAAACTTTAGATTGTCTTCTTGGGTTTTCCCCTCAAAGTTATTTAACAAAAATATCTTAGTCTAACTTCATTATTTTCAAAGCTTTGTTTCAGCTGTGATGCACTCTGAGACCTGTGAACACATCTCCCAACATTAAGGTTAAGAGAATTTAAGCTAGCTGGGCTACTGGGACTCAGTTGTTAGTCATTAACTTGAGCTACAATCCATGCAGCTCCTTAGGTGAAACTCACAGACCCTGGCTGTGAACCATATCCTTGTATTTATTTTTATTCACCAAAACTCTGTATAAGCTATCATTGTTATTATCAAATTAGACAGTACATCTTGGGGAGGGGTTATCTTGATAATCCACAGGTAAAAATGCCCAGTAGAACGGGATGTTTCTGAGAGATATTACTATATTATAGGCTGTGGAGATCTCCCCACGTCCACTCACACCATGCTAGATACCAGAGAAAGAGAACCACAGCAAACATGGAAAGGCAGAGCAGAAGCAAAAGACATTCCAGGGTCTGAAGTCCGGTGGCCTTGCTTAAACAAGATTGGCCCATCAGGGGATTCCCTTCTGTTGGGCTGACACCTGGAACTTCAATTGTAACTCGCTGCTCCTCTGGCATGGCCAACAGCAGACCAGGCTGGCCTTGAACTCAGAAATCCATCTGTTTCTGCCTCCCGAGTGCTGAGATTAAAGGCGTGCGCTATCACCACGCAGCCCTCTGCACTTCTTATATATTGTTTTATAATGATATTTTTCCCATTTAGTTAATAAGTGACTCATTACTATATGTACCCATTACATATGACTGATATGTAACAGTAAACAAAGCTGTTTCTCTACCTTCCTGGAGCTTGGATTTTCTCATTTATTATAAAATAATAATTTTATTTATTTTATAAACAGCTTAAATGGGGAAACCAAAATTAAGTAATTATAATTAACTATTGTATTTCCTTAATGTTAGAGTGCCAGCAATTTTCAGATGCATCATTTACTAAAATATATTTTAGGGAGCAATGAAAGAACAGAATAATAAGTTAAAATATAGCATGTTTTTGCAGCTGCAGATAGCCTGTACGGTACTAGAAATTATGCCCAATATTTGGGTATGGCTAATCCAATGAGTCTCCTACATCATTAATTCCTACCCTTTTATGTTTTAATATGTTTTTTTATAGTTTTTTTGGTTTTTTTGTTGTTGTTGGTTTTTTTGTTTTGTTTTGTTTTGTTTTTAGTTTTTTGAGACAGGGTTTCTCTGTAGCTTTGGAGCCTGTCCTGGTACTTGCTCTGTAGACCAGGCTGGTCTCAAACTCACAGGGATCCACCTGTCTCTGCTTCCCCAGTGCTGGGATTAAAGGCATACACCACCACTGCCTGGCCCTTACTATATTTTTTGTTTGTTCTTTTTTTTTTTTAATTCAAGGTAACATGACATGAATTTGGTAACCAGCCTTCACATAGAATTTTAACATTGAATAACCATTTAAAAGCACATTGGAGGGCTGGAGAGATGGCTCAGTGGTAAAGAGCTTTGCCTGCTCTTCCAGAAGTCCTGAGTTCAATTCCCAGCAACCACATGGTGGCTCACAACCATCTGCAGTGAGATTTGGTGCCCTCTTCTGGCCTGCAGGGATACACACAGGCAGAATGCTGTATATATAATAAATAAATAATTTAAATAAAATAAAAACACATTGGAGGTTTAGTTTAACAATAACAAAGAAACATTGAACCTAGGAGCTGGAGATGGCTCAGTGGGTAGGAACACTGACTGTTCTCCCATGGGACCAGGGTTCAGTTCCCAGCACCTACATAGCAGCTAACAACTATTACTCCAGTTCCAGGGGATCTGACACCCTCACATAGACATATAGGCAAAACACCAATGTACATGAAATATAAATAAAATTTAAAAAAAGAAACATTGAACTCACTGGCTAATAGTCTCCTGGAGTTGGCAGCTGTTCTAATTCCAGGAATTCAAAGATGAGATGCTTTTATGAAGCTCTTGGATGACTGATATCAGGAAGGACAAGGCAGTATTGAACTGTCCTAGATGGATTCTGAACCATATTTGTTTATCTCTCTTAGTTAAATATTTCTAATAACTGAGTTTTATTTATTTTCTAAAATACCCTAGATTGTGGTTCCTTTTGTGTGGTATTCTTGAGCTATACTGACAGCTATTGTTTGAATTTTTACTCTTTTGTACATTGAGGTTTTTGTTTGTTTAATGGCAGGCTCTCTTCACGTGGGGGATGAGATCCTAGAAATCAATGGCACAAATGTGACTAATCACTCAGTAGACCAGCTGCAGAAGGCAATGGTGCGTATTTTCTGTACTAGAGAAAGACTGTCTTCTGTATTCATGAAGGGTTAATGGGCACTGGTGTCTATATCTCATTTCTCTGCAAAAGCATGGTTACCTTATTGAGAGGGCTGTTATCACTTCTGATCTTCTGTCCAAGAAATGATGTTTCTCTGCTTTAATTTAGTAAAACTGCAGAGCAGGGCCAATAACTGAACATCAGTCTCATAAAATGACAAGAATGTTGTGCTGGGCATCTAGAGATTGTGGTGTACTGTATTCTTGCTCTGGCTTTGAGCAGGTGGGTTAGCTTCATTCAGTCTGTATTCTCAGAATCTTTTATGTGCAGTATTGTGTGTGGTGTTTGGGCTGCCTCTCCTGTTTGCTCTTCCTGACATTTTGCCATCTTCTTCATTTTGTCTTGTGCTTCAACAAGCTGATTTTAATGTATATATCAGTTGTGCTTCAGTGGATTCAGCAAGAAGTTAGAAAAGGTATTTATGTCCCTATTCTTACTTGCCAAACCTGCTCCTGTAGGTACCAGTTTCACACAGGTGTGGACATCCTCAAAAGATCCAGCAAGAGAGTTCTTCCTGAGGATATGCATACCTGTATGAATACATCTTTCCTGAAACTCTCTAAACTTCCTTTTTGAATATGCTACCTAATTATTCCTGGATTCTCCAGTAATATCATAGTTAGTAACAAGAGTGATGCCAGAAAAATTGACTCTTCAAGTGGGTCTTTCATACTGGCTGCTTGTAAATGAGCATATGCTAAGAAGATGGTACACTAGAAAAGAGCTGATCATTCTAGAGAAATCTAATTCTTATTAGAAAAACATAAGCTAATATGAAACCATAGAAAATAAACAAAAAACTGTTGGCCAACAACTTTTTGAAAATATGCTTAATTCCTACAGCACAATTCATTCTAGGCAGGCTTGGAGTCAGTGGTCCAATGCAGTAGAAATATATGGTATATACATACTATGGAATACTTACTGTTCTGTCTTATACAAGAAGGAAATCTCATTATTTGTTACAACATGGGTGAACCAGGAGGACATTGTATAAACAAGCCAGACACAGAAAGATAGACATCACATAAACTAATATATATGTAGAATCCAGAAAGGCACACCTGTAGAAGTAGAGAGTGGAAGGTCTTGATCAGGGACTAGGGATGGGTGGGGATCATGGAGCAATAAAAGCTATAAAATTCCACATAAATAAGATGAATGCATTTAAAATAACTCCATAGTACAGCATGGTTACTATAATAATTATGAATTATATTTTTAAAAATACTGAGAGTAGATCTCAAGTATTCTCACAACAAAAATAAGTAGTGAGGCAATACATATGTTAATTAACTGTTTAGCCATTATACAATGTATACATAACTTGAAAACATTTGTATGGGATAGTTGAGTGTATTTTTATTATTCAACTTGCAAGAATAAGAGAGGGCTTATGAGAAGCCAAGGACAATGGCACTGGGTTTTGAACCTACTTCATGTTCTGGCTTTGTGGGAGCCTAGCCAGTTTGGATGCTCACCTTCCTAGACCTGGATGGAGAGGGGAGGACCTTGGACTTTCCACAGGGCAGGGAACCCTGACTGCTCTTTGGACTGGAGAGGGAGGGGGAGAGGAGTGGGGGGGAGGGGGAGAGGAGTGGGAGGAGGGGGAGGGAAATGGGAGGCTGGGAGGAGGCAGAAATTTTTTTTTCAATAAAAAAAGAAAAAAACAAAGTAAAAAGATAATCTAAATAATCAAAGAAACTATTGTTAATATTTGGTCAGAAAACTTGTATTTAGAACATGTAAAGTACAAATAAAATCTATACCAAGGGAAAAAAAAGAGGATGATCATCTATACTTATGGTAACAAAATTACAAAATCATTGAGCTGGGTACAATAGCTCATGCCTATAATAACAGTTCTTAGGAGGTCAAAGCAGACTATCACTTGATTTCCAGGCTATCCTGGGCCATATAGTGAATTCCAGGCTGTATTCCAGAATGATGCCTGGCTCAAAACAAGCAAACAAAACCAAACTGAATAATTTTTTTAAAAACTAACAAGTTAAACTTGTATCTACTTGTAGTTAGTTGTGTTACCGCTTGGGAGCCTGACGCACAAGTGTTGTGGGGTGTTTGTACCCTGTGTGGAAATGTATGGCTGCGTTTGGCATAATAAAAAGCTAGGCAGGACTTCTGGGCAGAGAGAGAACAATGGGAAAAAGAAGGCAGAGTGACCAGCTATATGGAGAGCAAGCAGTATGGGCAGTATGGAGAAGTGAGGGAACAAGCCACATGGCAGAACGTAGATTAAAATAAATGGATTAATTTAATTTACAAGAACTAGTGGGACAAGCCTAAGTTAAGGCCTAGATTTCATAATTAATACTAAGTCTCCATGTCATTATTTGTGAGCTGGCAATCCAAAGAGAAAACCTGAGTACACGGAAGGGTCATTGTTGTGGAATGTTTACACTGTGTGAAGATGTGTCACTGTAATTGGTTTAATAATGAGCTAAAAGGCCAGTAGCTCGGCAGGAGAGAATAGGTGGGACTTCCAGGAAGATAGAGGAACTTGGGGTGAATCTAGGTGTTTCAGAGACGCCAGTGAGAGACATTGAAGAGGTCAGACATATGGTACAGAGGAGAGGTAACGAAGCCATATGGCAGAGTGTAGATCACTAAAAACAGGCTAATTAAGTCATAAGAGCTAGTTGGAAAAAAGCCTAAGGCCAAACTTTCATAATTAATAATAAGTCTCTGTGTCATTATTTGCGGGCTGGCAGTCCTGATGAAAACATACTACTACAGGTCATAGTTTAAGGAAAGCCTCAGCTATATAGAAAAACCAAAACAAAATTACATATGTGTGCATCATGTTTATGTGTGACTATAATATTTGAATCTTTGCATTGGGGTAGAAAAAAGTATGGGTATATTTGTGATCATTTTAGGAAGTTCAAGGAATCTTTTGGGGACCAAGAGCAGAAGAGGAGAAAGTCATGAGGTTTTGCTTTATTATTTTTGTCTTTGGTTATGCTGGCATAGGGAGCATATGACATTCTCATGGTTCAGGAGGTAGTATCTGACCAAAGCTCAAACTATAAAGATGGTTCTATAGTGGAAACTCATGTCACCCAAGTTAGTTTTCTTTACAGTCTCATTTTTCTTTTTTCTTTAAATAGAAGGAAACCAAAGGAATGATCTCATTAAAAGTAATTCCTAATCAGCAGAGTCGTCTTCCTGCACTACAGGTATGTAATACAATTTTCTCTGTTGTGCTGTTTTGTGTTCTTTGAGATTTTATTAAAAGTGACACAATTCTATAACTAAGTTCTGAGTCTCTTACAGGTGTTTATCTGCTTGGTGTAGAATCCTATTATGCATTCTCTCAACTAAAATATAAGAGCTCATCTCTTTTTCTTCTTTCTTTTCTTTTCTTTCTTATTTCTGTATGCTTGTTCATTTCTGTCCAAGTGCACATGTGTGGATGGCAGAGGACAACCTTGGGTGTTATTCCTTAGGTGTCATTCATCTTTGTCTATATGTAGGGGGTGTCCTTTGAGTGTGTATGTGCATGAATACATGTGTGTGTATGAGTGTGGAGGCTAGAGGTTGATATTAAATGTGTTTTCTTTACCTCACTTCACCTTTATTTTTTTGAAGCAGTGTCTCTCAGGGAACCTGAAATTTACTAATTTGGATAGAATGGTTGGCCAATGGGCTTCAGGTATTCACATGTCTCTTCCCTAACTGTCTTCCCCTAGTACTGGAATTACAGGGAGCACATCATCATGCCTGGCCTTTTGAGTGGACTCTGGGAATCTAAACTTAGGTCCTCATGGTTGTGTGGTAGGCACTTTATCAACTGAGATATCTCACTAGTTTCCCTTTCTTTGAGACAAAGTTCCACTGAGCCCCATCCTAGTCTGAATCTCAACAATTAGATTAGGTTGGTTGGCTAGTGAGCCTCAGGGATCCTCTGTCTCTGCCTTCCCAGCTCTGGGTTTATAAAAGTGTATGACACTAAGCTTAATTTTTTAATGTGAGTTCTGAGGATCAAACTGAGTTCCCTCATCCTTGGAAGGTAAGCACTATATCAACTCAACACTCAGCACTTTATTCCTTTTTCTTTGAGGAAGAAGACAATGATGGAGGTGATAGGAACAGGTTATTAGTAGTTGAGGAATAGATGGGACAGGACCTTGGAAAATGGATGTGCAAAAGGTTTGGTTTTTAAAAATATCTCAGGTTGGAGAGATGGTCGAGGACCTGAGTTTGGTTCATAGTACCCACATCAGGTACCTCACAGTAGTCTGTCTATAACTCTAGCTCTAGGGGATCAGATCTTCTGGTCTCCGCAGGCAACTGCACATATGTACACATAAGTAAAAACAAATAAAAATAAATAAAATATCAAACCTGAAATTTCTATCATAGGCTACCTGTAGTATGATAGTATAGTCTTAAGCTTTTAAATTGAAGTTTTGTTGTTTATGTACATACATATAACAAAGTGAATAAATCACAAGTATAAAACTTGTATGTATTCATAAACTGAGCACATAAATTGAGCCAATTCAAAAGTCAGAATATTGTAGATGGAAGTTTCTGTCCTGCACAGTCCTGCAGCCATTCAGTCACAGCAAAACACACAGAGGCTTATATTAATTATAAACTGTTCTGCCTCTTAGCTCAGCCATATTATTTAAGTGGTTCTTACAACTTAAATTAACCCATAATTCTTGTCTATGTTAGCCACGTGGCTTGGTACCTTTTATCAGTGAGGCTTTCTCATCTTGCTTTCTCTGCTTCTGGATGACAGCTGCAAACTGAGCCTTTCCTCTTCTTAGAATTCTTCTAGTCTGTTCATCCTGCCTATACTTCCTGCCTCTGTACTGGCCAATCAGCATTTTATTAAACCAATAAAAATGACAAATCTTTACAGGGTACAGGAGCATTGTCCCACAGCAGAATATGTCCAGCATCTATGACGCCTTATTACCAAAACCCTGACTTATAACATAAGAGAAGAATTTTACTTCATTTTGAAATTTATTTAAATTGAACTATATTGTAGGAATTCTTTTGAATGCCATTGCATTTATTCAGAATTGTTAAATTAATCATCCAGGTTACTTGTAGCAATAGATGATTCAGTTTCTCTGATTCATTGTATAAATGTGCTGTAGTTACTCATCCATTCTGATACTGCTGAACTTTTAGGTTTCCAGCTTTTTTTTGCTATGAACTTTGTTGAATGTGTGCTTTATACCTTTACTTTGGGGGATAAAATTGATGGGTTTTAAGGCACAGGTATGTTTTAATTTTAGAAGATATTGCCCAGCAGTCTTTGAAAGTAGTTGTTCCATTTTATATTCTCAAATATACTTGTATGACACTTCTGTTTCTTCCATATTTTTCACCAAAATTTAGAATTGTCTGGTTTTGTTTGTTTGGCCATTATCTGGGTGCATATTATGTCATAATTCTCATTGTATTTCTCTGATAATTGGGAAATGCTTCCTTTACTATTTATATGTTTTTTTGCCACTTAAATATACTTGTTTGGTAAAACTTGAATTTTTTCTTACCAAATTGTAGGAGTCTCTCATATTTTCTGAAGTGAAGAGTCCTTTGTCATGTGTATCTCAAATATGCTCCTTTTTAATTTTCTTCATGGTACCATTAATGACTAAAGAAGATTCTAATTGACTAATGAAATCAAAATTGCTACCTTTTTCCCTCATATAATCAACACTTTATGTTTGTTTAATTTTCTTTTTGCTTACAAGGTCAAAAGGACACTCTTCTATATTTTTTTCTAAACCCATGTAGAATTAAATTGATTTTTGTGTAGGTTATTGTAAAGTAAGAGGTAAAGGTTTCAATTTTTCCATATGGATATCAGTAGACTCAATACTATTAATTGAAGTAAACATCCTGTTCATATGATATATGCCCCATCACTTTTATCGTAAGTCATATATGTAGGCATATTTTGTGTAGTTGGTCTATGTATTTATCGCTGCATTAAATCTCCATATCATTTTGGAGAAAGGAGACATCTTTATAAAATCCCAGTAGAAGTGATGATGGTGTAATATTTCTTTATTTCTCAGTATAGAAGAGAAATCTTTTAGTATTTCATTGTAAAGTATGTTGACTGTAGGTTTTTTAGTTTATTTTTATTATTTTAATTATGTGTCTGTGTGTATGTGCATATGAGTGCAGGAGCTTATAGAGGCCAAGTATCAAGATTTCCCTGGAGCTGGTTGTGAGCCACCTAATATGGGTGCTGGGAGTCACACTCAGGTCCTCTGGAAGAGCAGTACTTGCCATCTTAACCAGCCCTGCAGCCTCGAGCTATAAGGTTTTTGAAGGTATTCATTAGATTCAAGGAGCTACCTTCTGGTTTCTTTCTTTGTGTGTTACTAGTGACAAGATCATATGATTTTTCTCCATTTTATGTTAATGTCACAAACTCTGTGTTGCTGAATGAGATCCTGTTTGATTGTGACTTCATATCCTTATAATAAATTGCTGTGTTTGATGTACTATTTCATTTTGGATTTTTATATTCTTGATCCTCAGAGAAACTAGACAATTTTTGTTAGATTTGGGTATTATGGTTATGAGTTTGGAGGCTTAAAATTCTCTGCTATTTGTATTTTGGTAAGAATAACTTATTTCTCCAGCACTCGGGAGGCAGAGGCAGGCGGATCTCTGTGAGTTCGAGACCAGCCTGGTCTACAAAGGGAGTTCCAGGACAGGCTCCAAAAGCTACAGAGAAACCCTGTCTCGAAAAAAAAAAAAAAGAATAACTTATTTCTTAAGCTGTTTCAAAATTTGACCAGAGAAGAACCATAGGATCTTGTCAAATGTATTGATGTGAAGTTGTTCATAAGATTACATTTTGAGTGTGTGTATACATATACACATGTGTGTAGAGTTGTGTGTACTCTCAGAAGACAGTGGAGGACGTTGGGTATTCTTCTTTGCTGCTCAATGACTTATTCCCTTGAGATAGGGTCTCTCACAATTTCTGTTAGGCTGAATGGCCAGCAAGTTTCTGAGATTCACCTATGTGCCACCATCTGTGGGCAGTCATGCTTGATTATCACAATATCCTATTAAAACCTTTTAAATATCTTTAAGATCTTTACTAGTAAATTGGTTTTTGCTTTGGTTTTTTAAAACAGAGTCTTACAATGTAGCTCTGGCTGTCCTGGAACTCACTATGTAGACTAAGCTGGTCTTGAACTCACAGAGTCCACCTGCTAGAATTAAAGGAGTGGGCCATTATATGTGGCTTTTTTACTAGTAAACTGTAACCTTCCTGTTCTTAATTTCATTAATCTTTTCAAAGAGCCAGTTGACCCTTTTAGGTTTTCTCAATGGTGTTTTCTATTTAAATTCTTTCTGCTCATTATTTCTTTCATTATTTGTTTGAGCTTTATTTATGCTCCTTAATGTTATTACCACAGATGACCATTGTCCAAGTTTGCTTTCTGTTCTATAACAGAACATTCTGACTTAAAGCAACTTGGGAGGAAAGGGTTTATTTCAGCTTACATTTCCAGGTCACAATGTATCCAGCTAGGGTTGAAACTCAAAGCTGGAATCTGAGGCTGGAACACAGAGGAATGCTATTTACTAGCTTGCTCTCTTGATTGCTCTCTCCTAGCTTTCTTACACTAGCCCTCTTGCCCATATGATGATGCTGGGATGATGCTGCCCATAATGGTCTGGCTCCTCCCATATCAAGTCATCAGTCAACACAATTTGTAACAGACATGGCCACAGGCCACTCTGAAGCTATTCTTCAATTGAGGTTCCCTCTTCCCAGATTACTCTAGGTTATGTCAAGTTGATTATTAAAAACTAACCAAGAAAATCAGTATTAAATTCTAATATAAATTCTTCTAGTCACTTTTTTCTATGACTTTTTTTTAAATTTTTGACCATTCTGGGTGTTATTTTGTTTAATAATGTTCTTATTTCATATAGTCAGCAGGATTGCCAAGGACATTAGATATTCTAAAAGTTGAGGTTTTGTGTGGTAATATACTCAGGAGATACTTAACCATTTATCATGAATAAATAAGTATGTCTTAGGAAATTAAATTGTTTCTAATACTTCACTCTTAAAAATAATGCTGTGATACACATGCTTATTTACATAATCATTACGAGCAGCTCGTTTTATGTAAGATAAATGCATAGTAATCAAGGTAGGGCAAAAATGTCAACGTTTGAAGATGATAAACACATTTATATTGCTAGACTGTCCTCTAGAAAAGGGTTTATCAACTTTACCATATTCATAAGAGTATCTTGTCAAGGAAACAGATCCATTTCAGATGGATGGTAGCAGATCTGTACTCTGAGATGGACAACTGAGATTCAATAGCTGGCATTTCATGGAAGATACTTTCTTATTAAAAGAATCAGTTTGGGTTCTTCTCCAAACACAACAGTAAGTAGTTAGGAACATCCAAGCTGCACATGTTTGAGTCTCTGCTACTATTCTTGCCTCATTCCTGCTCATTTCCCATTTCCTTACAGTGGGACTTTTTATGTATATGCTCTCTAGCCACTGGTGTTTTTCCTGAGGTACTCTTTGCCTTCTTTTCCAGATGTTCATGAGAGCACAGTTCGACTATGATCCCAAAAAGGACAATCTTATCCCTTGTAAGGAGGCAGGACTGAAGTTTATTACTGGAGACATTATCCAGATTATCAACAAAGATGACAGCAACTGGTGGCAGGGGCGGGTGGAAGGCTCTTCCAAGGAGTCTGCAGGATTGATCCCTTCTCCTGAGCTGCAGGAATGGTGAGCTACGTTTATGCTGGTGGAAAGCCCCTGCTGTAACTAATTGCTTAGCTTCAGAAATCTGTTTTGTGTATATTTTTCATTTTTCCTACACATATGTCCTAGTTTGCTTTATGTAATGGATAAGGAATGGTTCACAGGAGTTGATATGGTTCATTTTATGGCCATTTATTGCAGGCAAAGGAACTAGTTATAGAGCCCTCCCCCTGCTTCCTGCGTACCTTCAACCACTCGGTACTGTTTTTAAGAAAACTTCTAAAACCGGCACATTTTAAGTATGTGTCCTTTATACAGATTCTTGTCCTCTAGTCAGATTGCTCACTTAGTGCAAGGCTGCCCCACATGACCATTAGAGTGGTAGAAAAATCCATATCCACTGCCTGTGGAAAATAACATTACAACCTCAAAGATTATTAGTTCAGACCTAATTATTTCTTTTTTTGAGATTATACTATAATTACATAATTTCTCCCTTTCCTTTCTTCCTTCCAAACCTCTCATATATCCCTCTTTATACTTTTTGAAATTCATGGCCTCTTTTCACACACACACACACACACACACACACACACACACACACACACACACATTCCTAAATACATGAGTACAACCTATCCAGTTATCTATCCAATACCAAAAGGGTCAGCTCTGCAAACATACTATAGACCTTTAGTTTTAAGCCAGAATTCTATTGATCCCATTTCCAGTGATGATAAATAGCACCAAAACACGGGATGTGTTTTGTAGAAATAAATTTTAATGTTAGAGCAACAGAGGAAATACAGTGCAGACCTTGAAAATATTAGTCAAAGCCTTGAGTATGCTGTCTGTGTATTCTGGGCCATTTCAGAGCTAACACCTGGTAATGAGCATTGGAAGATCAGGAAAGGCAGATAACTTGAGAAAGACCCAGGAGGACACAATGTGAAGCTGTGGCTCATGACTTATTAATGAGGCATGAATCAAGTTAGTAGGCTGTAACAGGTATGTTTTTTTTTTTTTTTTTAAAGTGAGGATCACGTATCATAGCTCAGGCCTGTAATTCAGAATGCTCAAGACTGAGGCAGGTTCAGTGCCACCTGGGCTACATAGACCCTGTCTCAAAACAAAAGATAATACATAGAAACATCAGCATAAATTACACAATGATAGGTGGTATTCTTACTGAAGTTATTGCTTTAGCCATGTATGTGGTTATATATGCATACCTGTGCTTCATTTATAGATTAGAGTTGTTGTATATTTCTTATGGTGAAGTGAGTGTCAGACTGATTTTCCAGCTCTCAACTCAAAGGTGGAAGAATAGGCTGCACTAAGAGGGGGAGGGATTATTTTTTTTTCCACTGCCAAGTACCTGGGTGACCACATAAAACTGCAGAGAAGAAAGGAAAAGAAGTGGGTGAGGCCATCTCTGCCTGAAAAACGTTACAGAGTCAAAGAAGTAGGTCAGTCTCAAAACTTCACTACAGAAAAGAAGGTAGGTATTCTAATGTGTCACATACTTTTATACTGAGGATCTACTGAGCTTTGGTCATTTGTTTCTCACAGGAGAGTGGCAAGTGTGGCTCAATCTGCTCCAAATGAAGCTCCAAGCTGCAGTCCCTTTGGGAAGAAGAAGAAGTATAAAGACAAGTATCTGGCTAAGCACAGTTCAAGTAAGTTTTCTGTGGCTCCTTCCTCCAAGGTCCCAGTAGCATGAATGTTTCTCCACCTCTTTAACCAGAAGGAAAAAGGTGAGGATGCAGTATGTAATGGGATGTTTAGTATATAGAAAGTATTCCATTTCTTTTGGTTTTCCCTTACACATTTCATCTTCACAAACTCACTGCAGTCAGAAAGACAATCCCAATGCCTATTCTGGAAGGCTAGTAGTCTGTCCACTTTCTGCTTTGTTTTAGTATCTATCATACTTCCTTATCACATAGAAATATCCAACATCCCTCCCAGCAAACACCCCTAATTTCATGCATGGTCTCTCTCCCTTTATTTTGTTTTCTTTTTTGGAGCCAAGGCCTCAGTCCTGCACCACCACGCTCAACTGTATCTCCTTGCTGGATCAGGTGTTAGCTCCTTAACCCCAGCCAGTGCTTTACCACTCCACCTCTGAAAATTAATATGGTTTGATTTTCTTTGTCTCTAGTTTTTGACCAGTTGGATGTTGTTTCCTATGAGGAAGTTGTCCGACTCCCTGCATTCAAGAGGAAGACCCTGGTGCTGATCGGTATCTTTTCACAGCTTTGCTAATTCAAGAGCACAATTCTGTCCTTATTTCCAATCCTGTATTATGTGTCCACCCTTCTTCAAGAAAGGCAGTGAGGAAAAAATGAAGTGTGGTCTTTTGGATACTTCAACTTCATGTATTATAAAGAAGTTTCTGGATCTTACAAGTAATCTATTTGGATCCAATTCTCATTACAAATTTTTCTACTTAGCATCTAATTCTTTTAGATTAGGTTTGCTACATTTGTCCACCTATTTGGTTGGCTTACAAAATAAACAAAAAACTACACAGTAGCTGGTTCCTCTGTGGAAATAGCAATTATGTTCTACATCTTAACTTTTGAGCCTTAGAAAGACTTCTCCTCATGCAAATAGATACTAAGGAATTGAAGCTACAAGGTGGCCTCAAATCTTCTTGATGGCTCTAAGGACTGTTGTAACATCAAACTATTTTCATCTTGTAGCCACTCTGAGCACTGGGATATAGAAATCCATCTCCCATTCCCTGTATTGTTCCCACAAATGTTTTTGGATGAAAGTGATGGAAGGTTTTCTTTATCCTCACACAGGAGCCAGTGGGGTAGGTCGCAGCCATATTAAGAATGCTCTGCTCAGCCAGAATCCAGAGAAGTTTGTATACCCTGTCCCATGTAAGTATTTCTCAGGTGCCTTACAGGGGAACATTATGCCTAAGAGACAGGCAGCAATATCATATTACTGAATTTAGCATCAGTATTCTTCTGAAATGTCTTATGGTCCTGTTTTTTTAAATGTTTAATAATGAGCACTGAAATTTTAGGGAATGGGGAGATAAGTTCTTGGAAAATGTGAGGTCCTGATTACAGTCTTTGGAATACACATTGAAAAGCCTGGCATGGTGGCATGTACTTTGAACCCATGGAAGTGGAGATAGAAGATCTGTAGCTTTCTTGACTGTGCTCAAAGCCAATGAGAAGACCCTATCTTAAAAAGAAAAGAGGTGTACAGCTCCTGAGAAATGTTGCCCAACAGCTCCTTTATATATGAACATATGCACCAACACACACACAAAAAACCCTAAAAATTTAGAAACATAAACATGTACTTATGAGCAGGCTGGGGAGAGGACTGCTAACCCTAACAACATGAGTCAGATTCCTAGATCCCACATGGTAGGAGAGAACTGGCTCCTGCAGGTTGTCCTCTAACTTTCATATGCACATCATGGCATCTCTCTATCTCTCTCTCTCACACACAGACCAGTGTGTACTTATAATTGCTTGAAATAACAAAATAACTTGTTTTCTTCTTTTATTCCATATAACAGTACCTGTAGTAAACAACATTTTTTTAAAAATTATTGCCGGGCGGTGGTGGCACACACCTTTAATTCCAACTCTCAGGAAGCAGAGGCAGGCGGATCTCTGTGAATTCATTCAAGGCCAGCCTGGTCTACAGAGCAACTTGAAAGACAAGTTCCAAAGCTACACAGAGAAACCCTGACTGGAAAAAAAATTGTTGACAGAGGTTTCTGTCCCACCAGGTCCCACTCTGTTTAGTCCCAAGTAAATACACAGAGGCCTACATTAATTATAAACTGATTGACCTATTAGCTTGGGCTTCATATTAACTCTTAACTTATATCAGCCCATAATTCTCATCTGTGTTAGCCACGTGGCTTGGTACCTTTTTCAGCATGGCAGTCACATCTTGTTTGCTCTGTGTTTGGCTTCCTCTGTGTCTGGATGATGACTGTAGATTGAGCTTTCCTCTTCCCAGAATTCTTGTTGCCCCGCCTCTACTTCCTGCCTGGTCACCCCACCTATACTTCCTACCTGACTACTGGCCAGTCAGCATTTATTTAAAACACAAGTGACAGGGTACAGACTATTGTCCCATGGCACAAAATTAAGACTGTGAATGGGGGCTGGAGAGATGGCTCAGCGGTTAAGAGCCCTGCCTGCTCTTCCAAAGGTCCTGAGTTCAATTCCCAGCTACCACATGGTGGCTCACAACCATCTGTAATGTGTTCTAGTTCCCTCTTGAGGAAGAGACATGGTCAGACAAGTTCAACAGACCTGTCATATACAGGCTGCCCCCCTCATGCATGGTACAATGTGCCTTAAATCTCAGCACTGGGGAGGCAGAGGCAGGTGTATCTCTAAGTTCAAGGCCACCCTGGTCTAGGACATGAGTTTCAGGACAGCCAGAGGTACACAGAGAAACCTCTCTTGAAAAACTAAAAAGAAAAAATACTAAGCAAGAACTTTTACGTGTATTACTTTATAAATGATTTCTCAGTGTCCTCTACTGTCTACCTAATTTATCTGTTCTTTCCTTCCACCATATGTTGTTCCCAGAGTTGAACTCAGGTCATAAGCTTTCTGTGGCAAGTGCTTTTACCTACTGAGAAATTGCCAGCCCTAACATTTTAACAAAATGTTTAAATCAAACCAATGTGTTCTTCTTTCCATGTCATAAAAAAGAAACAGGGCTGGAGAGATAGCTCTGTGACTGAGTGCTTGCTGTTCTTGCAGAAGACCAGAGTTTGCTTCCCAGAACCCAACATTAGGCATTTTACAACCACCTGTACCTGCAGATCTAAGGTACAGATTTAAGGCGTTCAGTTCATCCCACAGCGCCAGTTCTGCTTGCCAAAAGTGGCCCACACACTAGGCACTCGCATTCCACGCGCCCGGCTCCATGCCAGTGAGCCGGGCTTCTTACCCATTTAAAGTTTGAGAATAGGTTGAGATTGTTTCGGCCCCAAGACCTCTAATCATTCGCTTTACCGGATAAAACTGTTCTGCGAGAGCGCCAGCTATCCTGAGGGAAACTTCAGAGGGAACCAGCTACTAGATGGTTCGATTAGTCTTTCGCCCCTATACCCAGGTTGGACGACCGATTTGCACATCAGGACCACTACGGACCTCCACCAGTTCCTCTGGCTTCGCCCTGCCCAGGCATAGTTCACCATATGCCTTATTCTGGCCTTCATGGGCATAACATACATGTGCACACACACATATAAACTATTTTTCTAAAGAAACCAGATTTCCATAAATTCTCTACCACAGCCTGTAGATTTATATTGTTTTAGCTTTCCTTTCTAAGTTTCAGTATTCCTGGGTTCGTTGGCTTTATGTAGGAAGAATGATGTAAATATTCTGCATGGGGCTGTCTCTTGAATTTTAAATATATTCTGGGTGGAAGGATTTTCTGGTCTGTACTGCGTCCTAACATCAGCCCTTCAGGAGTTCATGGGAAGAACATCTCTCTATTATATTATCTGCCCCAAACATGGGTAGGGTTTCCATACAGACACTTTGGGCCAAGCCATTAAGAGATGGCAAGGATCAAGAGAGTCCTTGTACACAGATACAACACGGCCACCAAGGAAGAATGAAGAAGATGGAAAGGAATATCACTTCATCTCAACAGAGGAAATGACAAGGAACATCTCTGCCAACGAGTTCTTGGAGTTTGGCAGCTATCAGGGCAACATGTTTGGCACTAAATTCGAAACAGTGCACCAGATTCATAAGCAGGACAAGATTGCCATCCTTGACATTGAGCCCCAGGTGAGTAGGCACACAAAGGCAAGAACAGTGGGTTCACCCATATAATGGGGGGAGGGGTGATGAAAAGTAGAGCTCCTGGAAACTTGGAAGTTCAGGTTTGCTTCCTAAATTTTTAATGGAGCCAGCCTGATGCAAGAACAGTAGTAACTGGAAACAATGCTAAGTGGTATTGGGGATTGGTAATGCTTTATTAGAAGGAATACACTTTAACAGACAGCTGGGTTTGTTGTTTCTTTTTTTCCTTCATTTCCTAGACCCTGAAGATTGTTCGGACAGCTGAGCTTTCACCTTTCATTGTGTTCATCGAACCTACTGATCAGGGCACTCAGGTGGGAAATGGGTCATGCAAGGTGGGTGGAGGTTCACTCCTTCTAGATCATGGTTAGCTGTTTCCTCCAAGGTTAAGACAAAAGGGCATGCATGCTTCATTCAAGAGATAGTAATTAAACAAGTCACGCCGTCATTGTCCTAGATAATACAGATGTTATAACTAAGATGGACAGTTGAGTAAATCTTGAATCTGATGAGACTCATGACAGAGCAGAGGGAGCTATGAAGGACAGGTGTGGCACCAGAACCACCATGGGGTACAGTATGGCTACAAAGGGAGAGGAGTCTGCAAGAGTGGCTGTTTGCTTTCCTCTATAGCATGTCATTCATTGCATTTTAAATTTTTTTGCCTATATTTTATAAGTGTGGCAAAGAGATTATTTTCTTGCTATTGAGAGTCACAATTCCACCATTTGAGGAGGGATAAAAGGAGGATCAAGAGTCCAGCGCCTTAGTTAAGTTACATAGCAAGCTCAAGGCCAATCTGGACTACTAAGAGTTTGAGGCCAGCCTGGGCTAGAGTTCAAAGTCAGAACATATATATTGAGACTGTCACACGAACAAAACAGCTGTTTGTGTTGCTTGTGTATGAATTTTCTGGCTGTCCTTAGTTCTTGTTTCCACTGGGTTAGTGGTTTCTTATCATTCAATCCTTTCTAATTCTGTACTTGGGTATTTCACTCTGATGTTAAAAGTATCCCCACCACCACTACCATGGCATGTATTTCTCTATACATTTTTACTAACGCTAAACATTGGAGCTAGAAGCCTATTGTCAATAATCTTTTTCCTTATCCTAGGATTACAACTCAGTGGTTGTTAAAAATGGCTTTTCTATGTACAAAGGGATGAGGCTTAAGTGGATGGTACTAATGAAGCCTATGCTAGGTTGCTACTGGCCTTTCAGAGGGCTCTATTTATAATTAGGATTAATTTGGGATCCTTTAGTACAGTGGTTCTCACTCAACCTGTGGGCCACAACACCTTTGGCAAACACTGTATCAATGAAAATAACTTGATGTTTAGAGGTCACAACATAAAGAACTGTTTTAGCCAGGTGGTGATGGTGCATGCCTTTAATCCCAGTTTGGGAGGCAGAGGCAGGTGGATCTTAGTTGGCCTAGTCTACAGAGCAAGTTCCAGGATAGCAAGGACTGGTTACACAGAGAAACGGTGTCTTGAAAAACAGACAAACAAAAAAAAAAAAAAGGAAAATAATAGTAGATAGGGAACCAGTTAATATAACCAGTACCTGATCAAAACCTTCCCTTGGCTGCTATGAATTGGGGCTGCTGCTTCAGCTATGGCTCTCTTCTTTGCAGACTGAAGCCCTGCAGCAGCTGCAGAAGGACTCTGAGGCCATCCGTAGTCAATATTCTCACTACTTTGACCTCTCTTTGGTGAATAATGGTGTTGATGAAACTCTTAAGAAATTGCAAGAAGCCTTTGACCAGGCTTGCAGTTCTCCACAGTGGGTACCTGTCTCCTGGGTTTACTAAGCTTACAGAATTGGAGAACCTGTTCCAGCCTCTCCCCAGCATTCGGAATGCCACCCCTCGCTTAAATCAAACAGGGCTGCTTCATCTTCTAGCTATCTGCAACTATGCGAAGTATATCAGTAGGGCTTAAGTCTTCTCACTCAGGCTACTAAAGGGCTGAAGTTTAACTTTCCTACTACCTAGATTTCAAAATGATCTCTGGAAATTGGCAGTGAGTACTATCCAATGCAACTGCTGCACAAAGCAACCGTCCTCATCCCTCTGATGCCTGAGCTTCTTCTACTCTGGATTAAGTATACTCTGAAACTTTCTAAAATGCCAAAAATCTAAAGCTGCTCTAGAGAAACCCTCCAAAGCAATAAAAAAAAATCTCTGCTATGTTAAGATGCTGGTGACCTTGTAACTACATTTCAACGTCTGCACCACAATCCCCTAAAAAGCCAGGTTTTATCTTCTTAAACCTACCAGGCAAGATGCTTTTCTGGATTTAACATAGAGGTGAGGTTCTTTACAGCAATGTCCTTGAAAAACCTGCCACTGCTACTACAGGTCTCTAAAGGCTGGTGGTTATAGAGCATAAATTATCTTCTCTAGTAGAAGCCACTGTGAGCACTTTTAAGCTTCCTATTAAGTCATACTAGAATGAATGAAAATATATCTTACAGAAACAAGAGCTGAGGGCTAGGGGTGGGACAGGCATTTCATACCTGCTTAGGCCCAGGTGCCACAAATGTTTAAAACTTCTGCTGGTATTCTTGGATTTGAACACGTTTAAGCAATTATTTGTAACACACCCCCCTGTAGTGATGAGGCAAGTAGGCCTGCTTTTCATCCGGCCTGGCTAGCTTTACACACGAAATAACAACACACTGATGTAGGTGGGTCATCTGTCTATCTGTTGCTTTCATTGGTTAATTAATAAAGAAACTGCTTGGCCTGATAGGTCAGAACATAGGTGGGTGGAGTAGACAGAATAGAATGCTGGGAAGAAGGAAAGTGAGGGCAGACGCCATAGATCCAGCCGCCAGGTCAGACATGCTGAATCTTTCCTGGTAAGCCACCATCTCGTGGTGCTATACAGATTACTAAATATGGGTTAAGCAAGATATGAGAGTTAGCCAAGAAGAGGCTAGATATAATGGGCCAGGTAGTGTTTAAATGAATACAATTTGTGTGTTGTTATTTCGGGTGTAGAGCTAGCCATGCAGGACCAAAAGCAGGCCTGCCCACAGCTCATCACTATACCCTTTCTCCCTGCTTATCCTGCAGTCCACACCATAACTGGCAGTTTCCTACCAGCAAAACAGTTATACCCCCCAGCCTCACTGACACACTACATAACACATCTACTTTGGAGAAAAATGGGTTTGTATTAATCCCCCTTGAGAGCAGCTAACTGCATGTGATAGGCCCCAAAGACACAAAATTGCCAAAGGAAAAGCAAATTTCAAATAGGACAGAGAGATTCCCATTTTTATTAAAAATATTTTCATTTCTGTTCTGCCAGCCTAAGATTATTATCAGTTAGTAAACCCAACAGAAATACTTTTAAAAAGCTACAAATCACATTCTTCTCCCAGCAATGAACAAATCCATTCTTCAAAAGAAAATGAACATTAAAACAGGAGGGTATGGGAATGCTTTGGCTCCCCCCTACAAACACAACACCACACAGAATGCTAGCCCAAGCACCATGGATACCACAAGACCAGCAAGACACATACCAGAATAGAACAGCCCTCACAGGATACTGCAGATAAGAATTCCCCAGTGAACATGGTTTAATTACATTTCTTCTTTTACTCACAGAAGGTCCTATGCTATTTTATTCAGCAGATTTAATTTTTACAAACATTAAAAAACTATCTATGGCATTGTTTAAAATGGCCACTAATAAATAGCTGCAGACAGTTACTAGGCAGTTTCATGTCTGAAGGTGTGTTCCCCCACTCAAGCAGGGGGGTCAGTGGCAAAAACCTGCTTTTCATCTTGCATATCCTTAAAACAGGACAGGACAAGATGGCCACATCCTAACCACTGAGATCACAAGTGGCAGCTAAAGTGTACCAGAACTCTGTATTCTGTTTGGGACCTCTGTTCTACTCCCTCAACAAAATGTTTTCTCAATAAGGCTTTCATTTCTTTTCCCAGCTTGACATAATGATTCAAGTTGCTTTTACTATTCAGACATATCTTCCACCACTTTTACTTTCTTCTTCTTTTTCTTTTTGCTGGTATTGCTGTCCTAAAGAAAGAAAAAAATAAGTACCCATTGCCAAAACATTTATAACTCTTCCCAAAAAAAAATCTTGTAAATTACAGACAAGTCTGTTCAGGATCTTTAAGGACATTTGGGATTAAACAAATTTTGCCTGTGAACTGCTTCTCAGTAAAGTCCTAGAGGTCTACTTTCACAAGGGCATTGAGCAATTAAGATACACTCTTCCCCACCAACCAGCAACATAATTCAAATCAAGATCCATTGCTCTAAAATGCTGGGTGCTCCTACTTGTCTGTCCACAGAGGGGCGGGGGTGTGTGGACAGATAGGAAAAATCCAAAATACAGGGCAGCCCAAAAGAGGAAATGGTGGAACCCCATTCCTGCACCACAATCCCTGTCAAAGACTCAGCCAGCACAAAGGTACCCAATGTTTACACATACCCCATGTCCAGCTTCGCCCCCACTTTCTAACACAGTTTTAGGCTTCTTATCCTTCTTATTCTTCTTTTCCTTCTTCATTAACTGGGAAACTACTGGAGAGTTCTCATCACTTTCACTCTCCCGCTTCCTCTGAGAGAAAAATAATTCATCCAGTTAGAAATGTTGGAAGTTACCAAAAAAGATTCCAAGTAAACCCAGCAGTAAATTTTGTGTCTATAGACTTGAATAGTGCCTGACTTATTAAAGATTTGAAGACAGTATCTCACTAAATAATAGTACAGAGTAAACCATGGGACATAATGGGTGTGCCAAAGCAGTTTGGGGTATAGAAGACCTTAAAAAGGCTGCCTCAGTAAACTAACTCCTTGCTCTCTTAGGTGCTCAAATAGGCACAAATCACCAGTTCAACCCACATAGCTTATTACTAGTCACCCAGGTTTCTAACTGCAGACATAACATTTGGGATTATAATGACAGTGGCCCCCAACCTTGGGGAGCCAAGTTACCAACATATTCTTCACTCTTCCTTTAAAGAGTAAGCTAGTATTGACTGAAGATCTTTGCTGGTATCTGACAATTCTGCCCCCTGCTGAGTTTACTAAGGGCCTCTGACTTCAGCACATTTATGCTACCTATCATTTAACCCAGGGTAAAGGCAAAATGTATCACACACATTCCATACAAGGTTATTGCCACAGCGGAGGTAGGAGCCTAGGTCTGATTCTTAAGCCCACACTCCCCCTACAGCAGACATAACACAACCTCAAGTATCAAACAATATTTGTGTGTGGACTACAGCATGGATAAAGCCTTCCTTGGTAGCTAAGACATTTTTTTTTATTAGTTTTCAAGACAGAGTTTCTCTATGTAGCTCTGGTACTTGCTCTGTAGACCTGACAAGCTAGCCTGGCTTAAAGCACATTTCAAACAGGTCATACCACTTACTTTTATGACTTTTACCACATCAGCAGTTAATTGAGGGGTTTGTATTGCTTCAGCAACCAGTGTTTTCCTGCCAGAATCACTGAAAGACAAAGAGGTAATATGAGGTTAAATTCATGGGAGAGCTTTCCATGGTGGTTCATCATGTCACGTGCCCTGTTATTCAGTGATACTGGGCAACCCTAAAGGGATTCTCTCCATAGTCCATACCCTGACTGGTAGGTAGGACCAAGCCTGTATAATAGTAGTTACCTAGGCTTCATAGAGCAAAAGAAGGAAAAGAAAGCTGAGCTGCAGTGTTAGGACCTATGGCCTAGCATTTAGCAGCTGCCCCCAAATAAAAGTTTCCAACTCCCCTTGGCTATCTGGTCTCCTGTCTCACTTATTATCAAAGACCAAATGGTAAGTATCACCCCAGTCCCAGGCACTATCCTTACCTGTAGTCAATGTAGTCCTGTTTCAAGGTGACAGGGGTGTTTTCTGTGGGTTTGCCATGCTTGTCCAGAAGGCCCTGCTTGATCATCATCTTCTTCTGACTTGCCTAGAGCATTTCAAACATTAGATTATTATCAATACAAGAAGTAGCCACGGGGGCTGGAGAGATGGCTCAGCGGTTAAGAGCATTGCCTGCTCTTCCAAAGGTCCTGAGTTTAATTCCCAGCAACCACATGGTGGCTCATAACCATCTGTAATGAGGTCTGGTGCCCTCTTCTGGCCTGCAGATATACACACAGACAGAATATTGTATACATAATAAATAAATAAATATTAAAAAAAGAAGTAGCCAGTATGTTCACAATATCTAACTTTACAATGGCTTGAGTGAAAAGACCTTCCCCAGATCTATGTAGCTTTAATCCCAGCACTCGGAGACAGAGGTAAGTGGATCTCTGAGTTCAAGGTCAGCATGGACTACAGAACGGGTTCCAGGACAGCTACACAGAGAAACCCTGCCCAGAAAAACCAAGAAAAACTTTTAACTGTGGATACTCCAGAAACCAAGAGACCTCCTTCACATTTGACAGTCATTGTTCACCACCCAACAGTGATGATTTAAGTAATGCCCAACTGTTTCAATCAACTATACTGAGAATCTCTAAAGTCCAAGATAGGGCATGCCTCTGCTCACCATCAATTATCTAGAGCCCCAAATAATAAAAGGCTATGGCAATGGAGACGCACAAAGAGCTGCATGAGTAACACAAATATAACCCAGCGAGGGCTACCACCCAGTACCACTTACCTTTGGACCCAAACCCCACTTCCGAGGATAAGTGTCTCTCTTCATGATCACCCTCTTTATCTTGGCTACTATACCATGATCACAGGTAGAAATCACTGCTGTAGTCATCAATGCAATAGCTGTAGGCATTAGAAAGAGAAAAAAGAATGATTTGGACATGAGTTCTACTGTTTTATGCCTTTTCAGAATTCATAAGTCCTGAACTCTATTACCTTAACTGATGCTTCTTTTGCTCAGGATGTATGTATAGAAAAAAGTCTCCACAACAGCAAGAAACATTTGAAGTAATATTAAATTTACCAAATTAAAAACTACTCAACAAAAGCAACTGAAGAAACATGTAACAAGGCATGTACCTCTGGACATGTACAGCAATGATGTATATACTGCCCTCAGGTCTATAGAACACTAAGTTGTAAGAATCTGTTTTCTGCTAGGTATCAGAATGGACTTTACACAGATATCCCACCCCCATCTATTCATAGAACTAAGACATGACTTATTTCTGGTACAAATTAGGATTATTAAATGAATAGCTTGGACTTATTGAGAAGGCCACAGAGCACTGTTAAGTTTTAAGAGATATCAATCCATTAGTAGCTAAGCCTTTACAAATTAAAGTCACTGATTCAGGCAATGGTGTCACACAACCTTTAATCCCAGCACTTGGGAGGCAGAGGCAAGTGGATCTGTGAGTTTGAGGCCAGCCTGGTCTACAGAATAAGTTCCATGACAGCCAAGACTATACAGAGAAACATTGTCTTGAAAAACCAAAAGTCACTGATATGAACTACAAGTAGTGAACTAAAATCTCTCTTTCATTCATCAGACAACCATGACTACTCTTGCTCTTCGAGTTTCACAAAAGAGCCAAGAACATATAAATGTGCAACACTTCTCCTTAATCTGTACCTGACTAACCTGTCTATTCATAAATTACCTATACAAAGCCCAGGAAACACCATTAATTAGATAAAACTGAGGGACCATGACACAGGACTGGCCCACAATAAGCCTACCTTTGAAGGTACAGAGCCCCAACTCCAGAAATGAGAGGCACCCCCTCCTTACCTATGCAGATCGCTTCCCCCTTGGTGGTAATGACCACAATCTCCTGGTTGACCTCAATGCCATCCTCATATCGGAGAACACCAGGAAGCATGATCTTGGCCCCATAGCATATTGCATTCACCTATAGAGACAGTATCACATGTGGTCCAGATGTTATTTTCCAATATTCCTGTTCCACTTCCATACCAGAACAGAGGATGACTATAAGGGGGGAGGTAGCCTGAGAGTGGGAAATAGGAATAATAGCACTGATAGTCTATCAACTACAATGGCATATGAAGGAACACAGAATAGTAACAAACACTATCATGTACTAGCACTGCTCTAAAATTTTCACATAGACTACAAAATACTAAAGGAAACTTTGAGCTCCAAACACAGATACACATATCACAAAACATACATAATAAAAATAAGAATGCTTCTTCTGTTTATTCACTGGTCTATACAAGTAGGGTATTGAATTCTACTTTTATCAGATGGCCCTAGTCCAAGGGGATCCTTGACCTTCATAGGCCCCAGGTATGCATGTGGTACAGACATACATGCACATAAAATACTCATACACATAAAACAAAATGAATCATGTCTTAGGGGGCAAGATAAATGACTTAGCAAGTAAAGGTACTACCCAAGTTTGACCATTGGAATTCACATGGTGGAGAGAACCAACTACCCTAAGTTGTCCTTGACCAACCTCCGTGCATATGCATGTACACACAAACAAATAAAGCATAATTTAAAAAAACCTGCCTCAGAGTTTTCTATCAGAGTGCTCTTGAATCTGTCAGGAAAAAACAGTGCATTTGCTAGAGATGAAGCAATAACAAACACCCAAAGCAACTTGCTAACAAAATTACCAGACCTGTTAAATCACATCCACATTTTTATATGGAATTTATTAGCCAATAATTACAAATTAAGGCCACTTCTCCAGTTCTGTGACCCCCCTGCAATGCATGTGTAAACCTCTTATCATCTTGTCTTTACTTAACTAGATCTCTTGCTGACCAATTCTAACTTCTCTTTTAAATTTACTCAGAAGCCAACAGTCTGACCCCAGCACAAGGGCATATCACATTTACACAATTATGGTTAAGCTTTTTCAGTTCCTGTTAGTGTCACACGTTAGTATTACCTCTTCAATTTTTTTCCCTTGATTATGAACTATAAGTTTTCAGAAGACTTATACATATTTTAAGATTTAAATATACAGAAATTTGTCTTTCAAAAAAATCTTATGACTAAATAACATTTATTTAAATTATTAGGACCGTTTTTGATTATAAGGTGATATAGAGAATACACAATTAAGAGCTGATGATGATCGGCTCAGTGAAGTTTGGATTATATTTTCTCAAATGATAATGTACTTCAACAGAAGCACCAATTCACTGAAATCCCTACAGGGTAAATACCATATCTCTGAAACTCTCTAGTCTTAACCTTTACCTATTGACACAATCTTTTATAGCAACTTAAATAAATCAAGATTATTTTAGGCACAGAGAGAGCAACAAATTAAAGGAAGGCATTTTTTTTTAGGTATCACTGATAGTTTAGTACTTGAACAAAATTGCTTGACAAAGACTCTTTCAATGATAGATTTACATTATTGAAATTCTACTTTAGAGTGATATACACACACATACACATACCTGGGTTTAACCTAATTTAACAAACCTAGCCATGAATGTTCCTATTACTAGTGGCACAAAGAGAAATCTATAAAACTAAAGGGGGAGGAGTAACCACAATGAAAATAAAAATACATAAATATGACTTCATATACTAACATTTCATCTTTGGAGCAACATTCTCTACAAACATGAACTTTTAATCTATAACTTACTGCACTATCTTTCATAACCAGACGTTTATGAGATGTCAGCAGCTTTTCCAAAGGGTAAACAACACGCCGCAAGTAAGTCTCATCCTTATGGTTATCATACAGCCACTGAGCATCAAGTATATCATGCATCGTCACCATATGGTCCTGAAAAACAGTCAGATAATAAATTCTGTGTCTTCATACTGTATAACAATCCATCAGACCCCCAAACTTTTTACACCTGAATGTAACTACACATTATCTTCTAGTTCAGGCTCATTATGAGACTTTGGAGTCTCCTTTGGGGTATTTGTACATGTTACCATCTTAGATCTAGGTAGGCACTCCATTTTTTGGTACTGTTAGGGATGCAACCCAGGTTGTGTGCAAATATTTGCCAAGTGCTCTTAACACTCAAGCTCTGATTAAGATTGGTATACACTAGGAAGTGTATGAATAGAGTAATACTCACTATTCAGTCATTTCCCTTAGCCAATTTCAATGTGCCAAATTTAATTAACAAAACAGGGAAGCTGCCCTGACCTGAAATCAACACTTTGAAATCTTTCATTAAACGATATAAAATAGATTTCTACCAAGGGCAGAGAGTCTAAGAATCAGTTCTAAAACTAATCCCATAATTGCATACCTTTTCACTCATGACTCCAGAACGCACCCTCCGAAGTTCCTGCATCTGACCACCAACCCCCAGTAACAAGCCAAGGTGTACACATAGTGTCCGAATGTAAGTGCCAGCTTCACAGCTCACCCAAAAGATTCCTAAGACAAACACAGAAACACAAATAGCACCTATTGTCTAGAGTAAATGCATGATTTTCCCCCTTCAACTGAACCATTATGATTAGAGAAAATCCTGGACATGGTGGTACCCAACTTTATTATCAGGAGACAGCGACAAGTGGATCTCTGTGAATTCATGGCCAACCAGAGCTACATAATGGAGAAACCCTATCTAAAACAAACTAACAAAAAGATTCGAGTTAAGAGATACAGGGAATAGTGAGTGTATGAGTACACAACATACTCAAAGCTTCTACTCATAACAGAATTCTTGAGAATGCACCCTACCTACTTAGATCTAAAACAATTAAGCCTGGTATAGGCCTAATGACCCACCTAATCTTCTTTCAGGATCATATTCTATCATTTTGCTCTCGTAGATAGTCCTCACTCGAAGCTGCCTCTTTACTGCTGCAATAAGTGGGGGTCGCTGAAACAGGGCACCTGTCAGAGTTTCTAGGGCCTAAGAACAAAGCAAAAAACAAAAAGAAATCCTATTCATTATGAGGGCTCATTTTTAAATAAGACAACGGGACATAGTTCAGGAATTTAAGGACATAATTCAAATACAAAAGTTTTTCTTTCGATAATTTAAGAGCTAAATCTTTATTTCAGTTTCCTCTTTTTCAACTGAGGAATGGCTCATCACTGATTAGAACTTCTTCCTCAGTAAAGGCATGGTCAGAAGGCACCCCTATCACCAGCTGTTCTCCTCCCAGGAGGCTCTTAAAAGGGCACAAGATCTACTAGCCAGGAAGACTTCCCTGAGTCCAGATATTTAGGAGTTCAGACACCAAAATCAACAAAGGTACCCTCCTCCCTAACTTATATAGACTTACCCTAGAAAGCTGAGTACCCCCTTCAATAGCATTGTGCAGCCGGACAATTCCCACATACTCTTTGCCTGAAAAATGACAAGAGTAGTCAGGTGTGGCCACTGAGTTTTCTGTTTTACATTATGTTCCACCACTGCCATTTTACATGGCAGAAGCAGCAGGGAATCCAAGATCATGTTTCAATAAAATCTATACTAACAGATCTCATGTTGTGCATAGAGAAGAGAAATGAAGATACTTTTTCTTGGATCAGTCATAGCACATGCCTACAAACTAAACCCAACAGTTTGGAGGCCAAGATGGGAAGACAGATTTTCAAGGCAGCATGAGCTACACAGCAAAACCTTGTCTCAAAAAAGGAAGGAAAAAAAGAACAATTATACCCACTCTTTAGAATGACTGGAAAATACCTTGCACTTTAAGAATAATTTTCTCCAGTAAAAGTGAAGGAAAGACAATTGGGAAAGAAATATAACTAGAGTTAAGCAGCAGCAAGCATGCTGGGCAGTGGAGGCAGATGCCTTTAATCCCAGCACTTACTTGGGAGGGAGAGGCCAACCTGGTCTACAGAGAAACCCTGTCTCAAAGATCAAACAAAAAACAAAAACAAACAAACAAACAAAAACAACCACCAGATTCTGTCAGAGAACAAAATTATATAGAAACCAAATTATTTTATTTTCTAGAGACGAAAGTTTCCAAGAGCCAAAATGTAGAAGTGAAACAAGTATAGAACATTTTCCAATCACTAAAAAGATAGCCCCTACTCTCTCTTCTACACACCTGCACTCTGTTGTGATTTCACCAAACGAGTGGCTCGTTCAATACACACAATTAAACAACCAGTCACTTTGGGATCTAGTGTGCCACTGTGACCTGTCTTCTCTACCCGAAGTATTCGTCGGATCCAGGCTACCACCTCATGGGAAGAGGGGTTAGAAGGCTTGTCAAGATTAATAAAACCTGTCCTAGAATAGAAAAAAAAAAGTGTTACCACCTGTTCTTGTAGTCTAAAAACAATATGAAGAGTTATAAAAAAAGCAAATAAATCACATATATAGATTATACATATTCAGGGCAAAGCTGTTTTAAGCTGCCACCATTTCCGTGAATAACTAATGTAAAAGTATTCATTTCAAAATAACTTAAGTTTGGACAGAGCCATTTCACCATGCTTACCTGATATAGTCCCCAATCTCCCTCTTCAAAGGATTTGAACCACAAGGAATCGGTGTATAGTGTGCTGTCCTTACATTTAGCTTATCAAAATTCTAGAAAACAATAATATAAGTTTAACAACACATTGATAGAAGTAAAATAAGAGTCAGTAAGTACCACTACCAACCATGGCAGTCCTTCAAGCCCATAAATGTAGTTTTGTTTCTATTATTAACACCATTATTGGTGTGATACACTATTAAGCCTTCTTATGTACTGGGGAAACTCCCAATACTATTGAGAAAAGAATAAATCTGAGAATTTAGTCAATGCTCTAAAAAAAAAAAATACTTGTGGAGGGTACTGTAAAACACAAAATAGCAGGGCTGGAAAGATGGCTCAGCTAGATGCACTGGTTGTTCCTCCAGGACCCAGGTTCAATTCCCAGCAACAACATGGCAGCTCACAATTGTCTGTACCTTCAGGTCCAGGGCATCTGACACCCTCACACAGAATATATACAGCCAAAACACTGATGTACATTAAATAAATAAACACAAAATAGCTTTGACTTTCTCAGATAAACCAAATTGAAGACAGCTGGCAATTTTCCTCAACATGGGCAGCTTGGTTCTGTTCCAGATACCTACCTACCTCTGATTTGTCTGTTTCTTTTCAGTCTCCTGACTAAAACTTAGCCACTAGTCAGGAAGAATTCACCAACTAAAAAGCCCATCTTTCATCATCAGTTTAGTTCCATTATGCCTACTACAAAGAGCAATGTTTGTTTAATTGTTTCTCCCATCTCTGTGTGCTAGCTATTTTTCCAGGGCCAACATCCAAATTCAACTTGGTTGAATGATATAAACAAACCTCACTATTTTACCAACACATGGTTTATTAAAATACTTGATGGTGTCAGTGAGATGGCTCAGTGGGTAAGGATTCCTGTTGCCTGACAATCTAAGTTCAACCTCAGGAACTCACATGTTAGTTGAGAATGGACTTCTGCAAGTTGTCCTTTAACTTTAACATGCATGTCATGTGTGGTATGCACCACCTATTTCATCCACTCTAATAAATTAATAAAAATTTCTATTTAAAAACCCCGTTTGTTAAGAGATGTCATAACTTCATAGCTAGTATCCACTTTGTGAAAATTATAAATTTTAGTTCAACCCATTATTCAATGTCACCATTAAGTCCCTAAATAATAACCATAAAATCTGTGACAATCAGGAACCGTTAAGCACACTTCATAGAATACCTGCCATAACTCAAAGCACATCATCCTAAGAGAAAATATGAGCAACTAATAGATTCAGTGAGGTTAGTTAAGTATCTAGTCCAAGGTCACATTCTATTTTGAATCTAAGGCTTCAAAATGCTCTTAGGCACTGAAACAGTCTACAAGAGATGATTTCAGAAGTGCAACTATTTAAAACTGACAGTAATGAGCATTTTGGTGACGTACTATGTTCCAGAACAATGTTGGATGAATTACAAATTAAAAATGAGTCCTTCATCTCAGATACATTGAAAAACTGCCTTAATGCTGCATCATTTGGCAGTTTTCTAAATAAAACATGCTGGCACTAAGCATTTTTTTTTTGAGACAGTCTTTCTATGTAAACCAGGCTGGCCTGGCCCACTGGGATTAAAGGTATGCATATCACCATGCCCAGCCTAGCAACAAGCACGCCTTATTAGCTGTTTAATTAAAAATATGAAATTCAAGCATTCTTCTGATACACACAGCACATACCTTTAGTAACAAGGGCCACTGAGAAGTGTCCAATTGGGCTACTCTGGATTCTGGTTTGATAAGAAATTCTTCAGCATGTTGTATTTCCTTCAAGAGAGTAGAAACATTTATCTTCCCACCTGACTTAGAACAATTCTAATACTAGGACAGAAGTGCATGCCTTTTAAAGAAACAAGAGGGAAGGGGTGTTGATTTCTGAAACTGAGTGTCACTAGGAAGTTTGAAAGAGTATTGAAAAAGGAGCTCACTAAACCTTAGGGATGATAGCAAGTTGAGTCCAAATATTTCAATAATACTGTAGGTCTGCTGATGGAATAAGTAAGAAAAATTCAGGGAGAACATTTCACCATTTAGTAAGCCGTGCATGATAGAAAACTCCTCTAGGAGTTGTTATTTCAGGTTTTTGCTGGCTCTACATAAGGACCAATAAGTGCCAACATACTGATTAATAATATTTTAAAGCATTTTCCCCCTTTAATGTGTTTAAATTATCTCTATCTCTCTCACTCAAAGCAAAGTAAAACATTTCCTACTCACAGCTACATCATCTTCTTGTAATGGCTTCCGGTCTTTTTTCTTTTTATGCTTCTTTGGCAAAGTAATTACTACAAAAAAATTTAAGATTTGGAGATTTCTTTAAAAACTAAAATAAAAGTTTAAACTTAAGTCCAAAATCAGGGCAAACAGAAGACAATATTTTTAAGTCTAGCATTACTGAAGAAAACTTAACGTTTGTGATGCCAAACACTAGATGGCTTGGCTGGTAAATGACTCTAGCACGTGTTGGTTTCTCTTCGGGTTCTCCACGTGGCTGTGGCAAGGCCAAATATACTTAGGGAAGTGCTGTTCACAGGCTGGAAAGTTCCACAAACAACCACTGCACCGTCCGTAAGGGCTTGTGATCTCTTAAAATTTTCTTGCAGGTCTGAATTACACTCGCTCCCCTGCCCCTTCCTCTGCATCTTTGCTACCTTCATTTTAGCAATATCCTGTCTAATGGCAGCAGAAATGCTATCACATCTCCTTATCACGACAGAGTCGCCTCCACGGCTGAGATGCCTTTGGAAGGGAACCGGGTGTAATCTTTTCCCGGACCTAATGGAGTCTTAGTCACTAGAGGTTCTCGCACTCGTGCATTCACCTATAGACCTAGGAACTAGCGGCGACGCGGTCAAACTGAGGGCGGGAACGCATGGAACCTCGGATCATGATACAACCTCACTATCACTAGCACACAGTTTATCAGAAAGCCGCGCAGGTCTCACGGCACGGCCACCCGTAATCCTTACCTTCTGCATCCGCCATCTTGCACCGCACCGCGTGTGTCCCGCCCAAGCAGCCACCAGCTAGGAACCACAGACTCCTACCGTCTGAAACCGGTCGGGCCCTGCAGCTAGACCCGCCCACCGTAGCACCTCCCTAAATTGGTGGGACAACAAAAAGGAAGTGGCGAGGAGGCTGGGGGGGGGGGGGGGGGGCTCGAGGAACGCGCGGGCTGTCTGCTCAATCCCATTCGCTGACTTGGCCACTGAGTTGCAAGCACGCAGGCGCCTGGAAACTCCTCCCAACCCTTAACTCCACTCTTTGGAACCTCCGACAGGAGTCCACTGCTGCAGTCTGGGGCGGGTGGGCGCGGCATCTACTGTGCCCTCCTTGCGGTTTCAATCTATTTTCTACTTCAGAACATGGATGGCCTACTTAGCACTCTATAAATATTATCTAGTTCTAACTCATACCGATATTTTTTGTTTGTTATCATGCCAGTCTCAATTGAAAAAGATGTTGAAGTACAGAGAGTGAAAGTGAAAGCCGTTTACTTCTTGAAATTCCTATCAAGTTTTGACTGTATTGGCCAATAGGAATTGAGTGCGAGCTTTTAAATTTTCTAGCAGCCTCATCAAACTAAAAAGAATGAAAATTATTCTCAATAGTTAATTTTATATAACCCTGCACATCTAAAATGTTATTTTAACATGGAAGCAATATGTAGCAGTATGTGATATTTTACTTTATTTCCTGCCTGAAGTTTTCCAGTGTATGTCTCACACTTAAACTGCACACCTCGGTTCTAACTCCACAGCCGTGACCTATGGCAAGTACAGAGCTCTAGTGACTTCAATAAGTAATAGCCAGGAAGTAACAGCTCCAGGATTAAGCCCTGACTTTTTTCTGGTAGATTGTTCTGGCTGTTAATCCGTGCTGCTGCCTTGCATGTTAAATCTCTGGTATATCCTCCTCCACCCTATTTCCTATTCTACCTCGGTATATTCTTTTGGCTTTCTGGATACACAACCTAGCTCTAGTGAATTTGGTAGATCATTAGTTATCTAATAATTCATTGTAAATGGAATCATTTGCCCATAGTTTTCCAGTTAGTTGCTGCTGACAACAACAAAAAGTATTTCTTTTTTTCTGAAATGCAATGCCAAGATCAGATTTTTTTTTCAGTTTTGTTTTATTGTTAGTTAAATTGGTATTTCCTTGCCCAATTGTTAGTCTTTCTGGAATTTATTTTGGTAATAATGGTAATGATCAGAATTGACTATTTACAGATAAGACCCTTCGAACTAAGGATTATTATTTTATAATACCCCACTGGTAAATATTTGGTTGAGTGAATTTGAAATACTCATTCTCCATTTGTCTACTAGCTTCGTCTTTATCCTATATCTCTGCTCAAATCTTTTAGAGAGTTCCAGAATCTGGTAGTTTTGCTTCTTCACCATCATTATAATGTCTCTGTTTCTCCAGTGGCCTCCTGCAGATGCACCCTTTTCTACTTTTCCTAAATACATTGTCTTAACACAGCAGCCTGAGAGTGCCATTAAACTTGGGTTCAGTATGTGCTTAAAAATACTTTCAGCGTTGGTGATAAAGCTCAGCAGTGGAGTGAAATTGTCAATGCCATCTCCCGTCAGCAGATCCGGAAGCTGATCAAAGATAGGCTGATCATCAGGAAGCCTGTGACCATCCATTACCGGGCTCTATGCCGGAAAAACACTTTGGCGTGACGAAAGGGCAGGCATATGGGCATAGGAAAGCTCTAGAAAGGTACTGCCAAAGCTCGAAAGCCCAAGAAGGTGAACTGGATGAGAAGGATGTAGATCCGGTGCGGGCTTCTCAGGAAATACAGTGAATTCAGAAGATTGACCGCCATGTGTATCACAGCCTGTACCTGAAGATCAAAGGGAATGTCTTCAAAAACGATGGAGCACGTCTACAAGCTGAAGGCAGACAAGGCCCACAAGAAGCCCCTGACTTACCAGACTGAAGCTCATAGTTCTAAGATCAAGGAAGCTCGAAAGCTCCTGGAGGAGCACCTCCAGGCCAAGAAAGAGGAGATCATCAAGGCTCTGTCCAAGGAGGAAGAGACCAAGAAATATAGCTTCCCTCCTGTCTGTATACAGTGGCTGCCTGTGGCCTCAGGTGGATCAGTCTTTAAAATAAAACAAGCCTTAAAAAAAAAGAATGAAGTTAGCCTTTCTTGGCTTCGGGGTAGATCGTTCTCTAAGGACTGAACTTCTTTCCTTTCACCCAGGGCTGCTGCTGTTGCTTTTTCTTCTTCTTTTCATTTTTTTAATTTAAATTTATTTATTTTTTAAAAATTCTTTTATTGTTCTCCAGTTTACATCTTAGCAAGTTTGATTTCCATATCCTAAAAACATTCTGAGGAAGCTTCCAAAGGGACAGTGCCAAGTGCAAATTCTTGATAAGAAAATACTGCAATTTTCTGGATTGTTTTCTAATCAAGTTTCACATAGACTTTGTACCTTTGGGAAACTCTCAGACAAGTTTCACATAGGGCACCAAGAGAAACCAAAGGTATCTGCTAAACAAAAGATGGATTAGGGTTTTAAGTGCAAACGCTCTGGAACCAGAGCACTGAAGACTAGAAATCTAAAAGGAGTCAATTCTTGCCTGTTTTGTTATTGTTGTTGCAGAGTAGGGGTGAAACAAGGTCTCATTGTGCCCCCAGTCTATCTTCAAGCTCACATCCTCCTGCTTACTGTCCCTTCTTCTGTAATGACAGCTGTGCACAGTTAAGTTTGAATCCATTTTCACATGGATGGAATTTTCCTCTGGTCTGTGTATCTTTTCTCTTACAATGACACTTGCTGTTGGTTTTCAGGCCCACCCACTTAATACAGGATGACCTTATCTCAGGAGTCTTATTTTCACTGGGTAAGGTGGTACACACCTGTAATCCCAGTAACAGGGAGATTAAGGGAACACCTCACCATGAGTTCAAGGCCATGCCTGTCTCAACCCCATCTTTTTAAAAAAATAAACAAAAAACCCAAATCCTTACTTTCATTACATTTGCACACACCCCTTTTCAAATGAGGTTTGATTCTCAGTATTTCTAAATAAGTAAATAAATAAATAATCCTTTAAGGGTCCTATAGTAAGTTAAAGAGTGATCCCTCTGATCTTAGTGGTAGTGGTGTCATTGAGGTCCAACCAGACCTTCTTTTTACCACAGCGCAGGACGCAAGAGGCGAGCCTCTTCTGTAGCCTGAGTAGACTCTGGGCTGCCGACACAGCAGCAAAAGGATCTAAATTCATTCTTAAGGTGCCTCTGAGTTTTTTCCCCCCATGGACCCGCATGAACACCCACACATGCATTGCAATAACTAAATTTCTAGGGTTTAAGTCACTTGATATATACTAGGAAACTCATAAACCATCTTACTAAGAGCAAAGGCGTTCTTTACCCAAAGACCCTGTAATGACAGTGCAAATAGTTCTCTTCTGAGTTCCTGTCTTTCCACTTGGTCTTATCGCCCCCCCCCCTCCTGCCAAAGAGGCTGTAACAGGCTTGGCAGGAATGAAGATACTCAAAACAGACACGTATTTCCCTTACTTTGGCTGTCAAGCTATTGCAACAATGGACCTGAGAAAGTGGAATTCTCCAGGAATCTCATGCTTGGAGAAAACTCAAAACCTGAGCTACCCAGAGGTAAAACTTTTCTCCCAGAAAGAGATTTCACACAGTCCTGACTGTTGTGGAATATTATTTTAAGATGTGTTACATTTGTTTATGCTGTGGAACATTTGTTTAATGATGCAAAGATTGTTGAATTCTTTTATATTACATTTTGAAAGATTACAATGGGTACCATGAAGGGTGAGGAACACGGATGGAGAACAGAATACACCACGCAGAGAAAGCTGGAAAGTATTAAGTTTTATTTAGGAGGCTATTGGGAGGGTAGGGGGAAGGAAGGAAAAAATACAGAGAGACAGAGAGAGTTGGAGAGAGAGAGAGAGAAAGAGAGAGAGAGAGAGAGAGAGAGAGAGAGAGAGAGAGAGAGAGAAGAGAAAAGAAGAGAAAAGAAGAGAAGAGGGAGAAGAGCTGCCTTGTCACACCACCCTTGTCCCGCAAGGAATGACGCGACCACCAGAGCTCTTCTTAATGCAGTTTTATTCCAGGATTTTATTCACTTTCTCTCTCTCCTCACTTTCTCTCTCTCTTTCCTCTTTCCTTCCTCTCTCTCTCTCCCTCTCTCCAGGAAAACCTCTCCCAGCCCTTAAGCAGGCATGGGCTGCCAACCCCGAACTGCCAGGTAGGCACTGCCCATAGGTTCACGCATATGCAGGCAGCTGATAATCATTGCGTGATCATAGCATAGGTCAGGCCTTAGCCATCTCAGGAGTTGATTATACATCTCCATCAGGTGTGACACCATGCAGCTCGCTACACTGCCTCTTCAGAAGAATGGTGGTGGGGGAGAGAGAGGGAGCTGAGACCAGTTTGCCACAGCAGGAAGAGAAAGAGTAGGAGTGGACAGAGCTTGTCTCTTAAAGGGACAGGCTACTGTCTGGGTTCATCTTGCTAGGTGACAGGGAAGGCCAGCATAATCCTAACAAGGCTTGTTTAACTCTATGAAGCTGTCATACTTGGTCTGTCTAAAACAGTTGATGGTCTAATAAAAAGCTGAATGGCCATTAGGTAGGCAGGAGAAAGGATAGGCAGGGCTGCCAGGCAGAGAGAATAAATAGGAGGAGAAATCTGGAAGGAAAGAAGGAGCAAGAAAAGGAGGAGAGGAGGATGATAAGGTCCAGTCACGCAGCCACCCAGCTACCCACAGAGTAATAGTGAAGGTAAGATATACCCAGAGGCAAAAGGTAGCAGGGATAAGATAGGAAAAATTGACTAGAAACAAGTCAGGCGAAGGCTGGGCATTTATAAGAACAAATAAGACTCCATGGTGATTTATGTGGGAGCTGGCTGCCTCCCCCCTAAAAAAAAAGGCAAAGAGTAAAGAATAAAAAACCAACAACCAACACCTGACAACTTGTCTGACCACCTTACAGGATGAAACTGAATCCTGGACAGAAATGGGTCCCTGATAGGCAGGGATTACATATTTACTGGGACTGCTTAGTTGTGCATATTTCCTGGCAC